GGCGGAGCTCATTAGGCTTGCATCTAGCCTGAGTGGACTAAAATGTGCCGTCACTATTTCGCCTACTACATCTGTCGCGCCCGTCCACTAGGTCAGATTTACGATCCCCACTATTATAAGGACACACCGGAAATAGTGTTTTTGAAGGGCTCCTTCTATATCTAGCTCTTAAAGGTTCCGTGCTAGCATAAGAGCAGCCAACGGCTGTGCCGAGGTGGTCGGCTGGGTCTAGCTGTTAGGGCGACAACACTTAGTTTGGTTCATGTATGCATGAGCACCGCTGACGTTTTAAGCGATAACTTGTGGTGCTCTGCGATAAACCCTTTCGCAACATCAGAGTCGTCGTAACGGATCAGAAGTTAATGCGGTATCTACAAGGTATCTTTGGCTGTTATCGATAGGGAAGAATGAGTTGAGAGTGTAATTAGGATGGCTATCAACAGTTGTGAATATTAGCACAGTGGCCGAGGTCGTTGCTGCTGCTCCTGTGGAGCTTTCTAGTATCGCTTCTGCCTTTATAGTTTTGGCGTAGTTGAGATGTTGTGAGTGTGGTAGTAGAAATACAGATTAAGAGTATAGCGTATGAGAGGGCCGACATCCATCTAGCTCTGCCCACTACCATCAGCCCTTCTATTGCCACTACGACTTATATAACGGAGGTCTTCACTCACCTTTGTAGGGTATCGTACCACCTGTCCGTAGTCTGGAAGCGATGAAGGGCAGCCACTCGTAATGTGTGCAACCTTCTCATGCGATTAGGATTCATGAGCTCGGACAGGGCCATACCACACGGCTCGACGTAGGTCGATCGTCAGTACTGACGATGTTGTGGTGGTCCGCTGCAATAAGGAGGAGTTGATAGTGGTAATACAAGGGGAGGATGAGAGATCGAGGCCTGCAGAGGCCCAGGGATGTTCTCCACTCCTTAACGAAAGTGTGGTTGGAGTAGGATAGAGTGGTCGCAATGAGGACAGGTGCGATAGGAGCATATATATCGCTCTATGTAGCTTACAAGAAGTCAGTGTGATGAGACTTGACCCTGGCTATAGGCAGATCTAGGATGGTGCTCTTCGAAGTTATCTGTGATCGTTTGAGTACTTCGCAAGATAGTCATGTGAAAGCGGGAGCAGGCCCTACTCAGCAGGGAGTTTATTATACAACCTTCCGTATTGATAAGGCCACGGGGGGGACCTCGGGTCTCGATAGGCGCGGGAGTGGCTGAGGGCGATGTTGCCGGGAAAGTCGTGCTGGTGCATGTTATGTTTTTCCTTGTGTCATTTCCTCTATTGTGAGTGTGGGGTTTACAGTCGATCACCGTCGTCGTCGTGCTGGTCTGTAGCTGGGATGCACGTCATCTAAGGTCGTCTCCTATTGCACTATGAGCCTGTTAGCCTACAGTGCTGTTCACTGTGTAAGAGACCTTTAGCCAGAGGAATGTCTAGTGAGCTACTCAGCCACTGGAGTATTCCGTTTCCAGTACGGTGTGTCCGTCTATAAGGAGTGTATATCACAGGTGCAGAAGGCGGCTGAATGCCATCATAGCCGCTCACTTAGTTGTTGACAAGGACTCAATGCTGTGGGGCTCGGATCGGCAAGTTGAGACTATCGTTGTGGATCATGCCCACCTTGCTGACTGTGGGGGCCAGTTGATATTGACCGGCATGCTCTGGGCAGTTGCTGCTGCTGCTGATCTACAGACAGTACTCGTAGGTCACTGTGACGCTGCTGCTGTGATGTCGTCGGATCACCCTTGGTCCGAGTAGCTGCAAGTGGGGTTCTCTATTGTTGTGCATGATGTGCCGTTGATTTGTCTCCTGCGTGTGTACTGTCTTGAGTTGGATGCTGGTCTCGGAAGCCTCATCTCATTCAGTCGGCCTTCCCTTCTTACTCCACTTCCCCTCTACCATACCCTTATCACTAACGATATGAGTGACGGGGGTGGTTCGACTCCACTAGGGGTCGACTGGGCCGGGGCCTTTGCTGCCAGCAGCAGCAGCTTCTCACTGGATAGACAAGGCGTGGAGGGCTCCATCACGCCGTCCTCCTTCCGACTGCAGCCCTTGGGAGATGAGGACTTTGGCGGTGAGTTCTCCCCTCAGGCTCTTGCGGGCCTCACGCCTCTTGCTGTGGACGGCTCGCTCACACCGGGGTTTCGATTACAGCCCCTCGGTGATGAGGAGTTTGGCGGCCATGCCCAAGCCGCTGCCCAACAGTTGAAGCCCCTAGCTGCGGTAGACCGACAACAGCGGAACTACGTGGCTAGACTCGGCGCTGCAGATGATGCTAATGTAAGGGCGCGGCAGTGGCGGGGTAGTTACGACATAGAAATGATGCCTGGTGGTGAAGTGATATCGACAGGCCAGCAACAGCAGCAGCAGCCTCCTCGTAAAAGGAAGCATAGTGGCACTGACATTGATGGGGCTCCCTCGGGGATGCCAACTGGTCAAGGGGCCTGGCCTGTGAGCTATGGTATGTTGTCGGGCATGGTCCTTGGGCTGGATACGGCCATTGGAACTGTGGCTGAGAATGGTATTGTGCGGGCTAGGGCTCCTAAGGCGTTGCCGATGCCGGTAGTGCAGCAAGCTGGTAGAAGAGAGGGGCATCTGTTGCGGGAGATGGAGCCTTTCCTCCAAGGGCCTTTGGACATGTACTGCAATGCCCTGGAGGGTTCGGATGAGTTGTTATCCTCCTTCCCGAGCTTCCTCTCAATGGTAGCAACAGACCTTGTTGGTCCCGAGATGGACTCTGGTGATGAGGCTAGAGCTGCTGCGGCCGCGGAGTCGGGTAGTGAGGGCGGCTCTAGCGACGACTGGGACTCTGATGTGGCGGATTTGCGTCGCTCCGCTAGGCAGCAGCTTATGGAAGATTCCCTACGTGGTGCCCCTCATGCAGAGTGCGGCAAGGAGCTCTTGGGTATTGAGTACTGGCCTCAGTTCACTACTATAGTGGCTATGAAACCGACGCCTTTGCGGGCTAATGAACAGCGGTATCATCGGCGGCACCTCTGGCAGGTGGATTTTGATGCATATAATGACAAGTGGTGGTGTCGAACTCGGGCGGAACCCTTACCAGTGGTGTCGACCGAGAGCAGCCCAAGTACGTCAGCAGCGAATACCCCGAATAGTCAGGCGGCTCCTATACAGCCAAAGAAGGCCTGCCGGTATAACACGCCCAAGGAGGTGTCCCTTCGGGATGAGTCCACCTACGTTCTACTCGAAGGTGTTGAACAGTACCCTATACTCATGCACCAAGTGGGCATGAGCGCTTACTTGAATACGTATCTACCTGCTAGCAGCAGAGTCATGAGCCCGGCCCCTCCTAGTGACACTCTGGGGCGAGTACGCTACGCCGGTGATGATGGCTTCATCCCTGGGGTTTATGGCGGCAATGTTGTCAGATTTGACCCCATGTCTGGAATTAACTCATGTACTCTTATCGAGTCGGTCCTCCTACGAGCGCCTCTATTTGAGCACCAAACCGACCCTACGGACTTCCTGTTCATACGCTGTCAGGAGACTGTGGCTGCTAGCAAGGGCAGAGGTCACAATGTTAAAAGGTCGAGAAAGCAGCAGCAGCAGACAGACAATACTACGAAGTACATTAATATTATACGACCACTACAGCGGCTCGTTTGCATGGGCCAAGCTGAGCCGTTGGTGAAGGTGGACCCGCCACTACCAGCTAAGATCAATCCTCTTATGCGGTCCAGGATCGTGCTGGAGACCCGCAAGTCCTTCCGGCATTATCGTCGGCCCCTAAGACCTGACGATGTGGTTCGAATGTTTGGGCATGCGAACAAGAGGACTACTCTGGAGCGCTTCATAGCGGCGGCGAATCATGAGCTCCAGGTCCGTCCCGGCCAGCCGATGCCTCAGTTGGATCCTTCGGCTGAGATGAGTTTGGTAGAGTCATGCAAGATGGACTCCATGCTCGAGGGCATTCGGCGTCTCTGTGAGAGGGGAGTCACCAAGCTGGTGACAGGGGATCGTATACGGCAGGCTGTGCGAGAGATAGAGACCCACGAGTCGAGTATGAGCAGTAGGTCTAAGGATGAGCGAGTCCGGTATGATGCCATGCAAGTCGAAGCTGAGCTCAAGACGACACCGTGGAGTCTCAGTAACGACTACTGGGAGGTCGTTGAGGGCGGCAAGCGTGGGGCCTTTTTTGAGTTCTCGCACTTGGGTGACCCAAGTGGGGGTCGAGGAGAAGGGGTCAGCTATGTACGGCAGCAGAGGTCAGTGGATGCAGCTTTGGGGGCAGGAGGCGTTGCTAGCGGTCAGAGGCTGAGTCAAAAGCTGGGGGACCTTCGAGCAAAGAGTGCCAAGGAGCTGAGGCAGGATATGCGCAAGTTGGGTACGCCGGAAGCTCAGTTGGCTGGGCTTGGTCGCTGGGAGCTGGTCCGGCAACTGTCCGTCCTCTTGCGAGGTGGTGAAGATGCGGATGTCGCTCTAGCAGCAGCAGCGAGCAATGAGTTGCCAGCCAAGAGGAAGCAGTTGCATAGCGAGCGGTTGGCGACGGCTTGGCGTAAACAGTATAAGGCATTGTCGAGGGAGGACAGGGACTTCAGTGATGTTGATTCTGATGATGACGACGCCAATGAAGCTGACATGTCTAAAGTTGGCGAGGACAAGGCCCCAATAGATTCCCTAGAGGACGATCTGTTGGCGGATCTGATGGACTCCTCACCGAAGCAGGAGCAGGTGGCTGCTGACTCTGGCGAGGAGATCGTACCGAGGCTGAAAATAGTGACCACTGGGCGAGAGAAGGTCACTGGTGCGCCGTGGACCAGGGTCCAGTATGTGTATGGCCGGCATAATATTGATATCTATAAACGGTGGAAGATGATTGACAATGTTGACTCAGCGGCTCTGAAGGAGGTCATCTCGTTGAACGACTCGAGTGGTGGTGGTGGCAGTAACCTCGACAAGAGTTTGAAGATCCATCAGCTATTGAGAGAGAGTATTGAGCAAGGGAAGTTGGCACCCAAGGAGGTTACTAGATGCTCGAGGTGCCACTTCTATGGTCACGAGGCTGAAGACGTAGACAGATGCCCAGTGAAGGGCAATGTATCATAGTCATATTAGTCTTAAAAACATCATGAGTACTTTCTTCTCTATTTCGCTTGCACGTCTTTCCTATGGTACGCCTAAAGCGAGATTAACGTTACTATAACATTGTTATACTATGCTGCTGCTGAGGGATGATTATTGGGTTCAACGGTCCGATAGTGCAAGGCGGTGAGTTGTATTTAACCCCGGGCTTGAAATTCCAGTTGATTCGTCCCTCCCATCACAACTGCCGCTATGTCAAGCGAAGTGTCCACGAAATCAAGTTCGTCTCCGGTCACATGCATTCGTGCTGGGTGGGTGGTCCAAGTCGATGAGGATAACTCTGTTATTCCTGACGGTTGTGTCGTTTGGGACAACGAGTAAGTACAGTTACTGATGTAGCTGCAGTTACCTCTCCTTGGTCTCAGGTCTCGCCGTATCCTCAACGTTTGCCCTTTTTCTGAGCTCCCGGCTGATTTCGAGGTCACTGAGCATTTGCCCAAGCATGCCCTCATGCCTGGCTTGATCAACTGCCATACACACTCCCCGATGACGCCCCTTAGAGTGAGCAACTACACCTTTGTGAATCTTAGATTCGGCGAAGGAAAGAACATCCTGAGAAAAACAAAATCCGAATTTTGTATTATATGAGGAGTTTTTACGAAATGAAAGTTCAAATTCAAAATGAAATTTGAGATTTTGAGTGAAAAAGTTCAACTCTACCAAACACAAGCCCGGTTTCGACCCACGAAATTTTTATTCCACGAAAATCAAATTTCATTTTTCAACTTGTTTTGAGCCTGAAAAGCTGTAGTGCAGCTCGTACGGTATGAGAGCGATCATCTACTACTCTGCTGTTTGCCTCACGGCGACTATTCCGTTTTCAGGGATATTCTGACGATCAGAATTTGCAGGATTGGCTTCAGAAGTATGTCTGGCCCGCTGAAGGGAAGTAAATCTCATACCGCACCCTGCCTCTGGACCACACCTTTGACTGTGATGTTCAGGTTTGTTTGCCCTGAGTTTGTAAAGCTCGGCTCGCAGCTCGGCGTGTATGAGATGCTCCTCTCTGGTGAGTTAGTCGTCGCCTACAGTAGGACTCATAAATGCCATGGTCGTGATTGTAACTGCGATGAGATTAGGTCGAACTCAGATGATGGAATAGCAGGATTGTCGTGGTTGTTGCTCTCGCCTCTCGTGGTTTTATGTTGCTGCAAAGCTATGACTATGACGGTCCCTAGGTTCTACAGCATTCGTGGATATGTATATGTTCCCTCGCTCAGTGGCTGAGGTAGCTAATGCTGCACACATACGGTAGGTCTCATCACGGCGATTAGTCCCGTATATGGTAATCAATTCAGGTGCTTCAATGGCGAAGCTGTGATGGATATTGGCGATGGCTCTATTGACCAGATGATCGATGCTGGTGCTGATTATGTCAACAACAAGGGTCAGTAGGACGCTCCTACACTCGAGCATTTGAATCTCGCTCTGGCAGTGTTGGACTATGTGTCTGCTTTCCTCAGCTGAGCTCAGGAACTTCCTTGCTTATTATAGAAGTTAACCCACCCGATTCAGATAGAAGTGTATAGAAACTACTGAGAATTTCCCAAAATTCCCTCTAAATTTTTTATTGTCACCAACACCTGTAATTGACCATGTGTGTATATTCCGTCGCACTGCTTTCTGGCCTGACGGCGGAGCGATGCGGTCCGCAGCACAGATAGAGTGCGTGGCTAACGCTATGTTGACGAGCTCGTCCGTTTTCGTTTGTTTTCATTATTCATCTTTAGATAATCGCAGCGACATGGTTACCCCCCTGAACATTGCACATACCTGCTACACAGTAAGGAGGGCATCTCAGCTCGAAGTTTTCATGTCGTTATTACGCACTGCGAAGAATTATTGCCAACATCAGGTGCCGAAGGATAAGCTCAGCAGAATTTCTACCATTGCTGAATCAGCCGGGACCAGAGTTCATGTCCATCTTCACGAATCACAGGCCGAGGTTGACGAGTACTCCCCTCTTTGTTATTGGTAGTGTGCCGATGTCTGGTCCAGTTACCTCAAGCAACACGGGGAGTCGGCTATTGATGCCTTGGACGAAGCAGGCTTGCTTAATGACCATCTCATTGCGGCCCACTGTGTGCACATGACTGATGACGTGAGTCGCTGGGTAAGTCATTTTCTCGATGACTTTCCTTGGCTCTCAGGAGATTGCTCGGTTTGCTGAGGCGGGCGCTAATGCTGTCCACTGTCCACGATCGAACGCCAAGCTTGCTAGTGGCATAGCTAAGGTGGGAGCTCATGCTTGGTCAGTGGAGGGGGAAGGTTCCTCCTTGAGGCCAGGTACAGAGAATGCTGGATGCTGGTGTGAATGTGTGTCTTGGAACTGATGGACCGTGTTGCAACAACTCGATGGATATGCTACAGGAGATGCAATATGCAAGTCTACTAGGAAAGGTTGCAGGTAGCGAGGAGAAATGCACAGTGAGGGCGTAGAGACTCGCGCAGGACCTGGTGTGAGCCCTAAGAACGTCAACTGTTATACGGCAGTTCGCATGGCTACTATTAACGGCGCCAAGGCTGTTGGGAGAGAGACGGTAGGGCTTGTGGTCCCTCATATCTCGATCGTCAGTTGTGTAGGACCTGGGCTCATTGGAAGCTGGTAAACTCGTTGATATGATAGCCATCGATCTGGGCCGTTTGGAGAATCAGCCCGTGTATGATCCTGTGTCATCAATTGTGTAAGTGGGGTCAGCTGAGGTTTATACGCATATGCAAAGCGTGTTCGGCTACGGTTAGTGTACGGTACTCGTAGTAGAGGGTTGGACGTAGGGCTAGATCTATATCGATGCTGAAATACAGGAGTCCTCAGTGGAGCCTGAAACCTATCTGTTGTTTATGTATGGGTACACGCATTACCCCAACTGGCATGCATTGACGTAGCGGTATAGTAGACCATCGTCGTCGTTTCCTCAGGTACACTAATCAGAGGTCAGTGACGGATGTGTGGATTGGGGCCGAGCGTGTTGTCCGAAATAGAGAAGTAAGATAATGATGATCATCATATCCGCATCCTATGAGGTGTAGGGGAGTAGATCTCGAGCATCGAATGGTGCTCGAATGTAGCTTAGAATGATGATAGCATCTTGAAGCAGTGTCGAAATATATGTTCGCTTTCCTCAGCTGAGCTTAGGAGTTTCCTCATCAATCATAGAATCTTACGAATATGAACCCGGCTAGCAATGTACAGGAATCAATGAGAATTTCCCAAAATTTTCTCAGAATTTCCATACTGTCACCAACGTATGTTGTTGACCATGTGCATATTTTCCAACACAAGATTGAAGATTGAAAGTTTTTATCGGCTCTTCTCTTCACTATGCGAGCGAGGTTTCGAACCACTCTTTGGTTGATCGATGGTATGTCATTAGAAGTTTATACTACTTCCTTATTGATCAGGTTCAGACCATGTGTAAGCCATCAGCCGAGAAGCTAGCCGAGTACCAGCAGCAAATAGCGGACTTCAAGGCCGAACGCGAGGCCGCTGAATCTACCACACAAGCTTAGTTTCCGACTGCTTTGTTTCTACTGACAATTCATCAGCTGAGCCTCGTGGGAGGATTTAGGTTTCTATTGCAAATCAGAGTTCTATCGTATCCCCTTTCACCAGCCCGTGTATCTCAACACGGCCTGGCAGGCATCGTGATGTAACCCTCTCTGCGGCAGTACTTGTAGTGTCGTGTTGGTCCATCTAAACGAGAGTAAGTGGTCACTATCGGGGTTGGGTCTAACCTGGGGGAGAGTGCATTCTCCTTGTAAGGGTTAGTTGAATGTTTTCCAGGAATCTGATTTTAGCATACACTTGAAGGAGTGTTACTGCATGCGAGGGCCTACGTTGTTACTTACTACAGTGAATAATGACGATCAGATCATGCAAGACTTGAATCAGTGATGGGGGCGCCCTCCGTTACGGGCACCGATCGAGCTTTTGGCCTGCGCTCATGAGGACCTCAGGGATAACTCACGTACGTCCTAAGGCTAAGTTGAAAAGTATTTGGAGCAACACGTCCTCATCCCGGGTTTTATTGGTTGCTGTACTCATGTCGCGGCGATGACTTTACTTATGATTGACCCGGCGCTTCCTACTGGCGATCGGACGCTTGCCTTGTGACCCGCAGGAAAGCGGAATGTGTCTGCTCCCTGTTTGGATGTTCTGAGCCCCGCCCTCAAGGTTCCCTATTGTTTTGGCCGTCCTTCTGTGGTCGTGGATATCAGGGTATCTTTATTGCCACTTATGCACACATACGGGCTGGAAGGGTGTGACCAGGCATGAGGGACCCCCCACCAAAGTAAGGAGCATTATCCACACTAGCTTTTTCGCTTCGCTGAGAAGTTGAGTTCTCACAGCACAACCCCATGGGGAAGATGGTAACGATTAGCGTCGAATGACGTGTTTGCCTCGATATACTGTGCTCCATTGACTCTGCATCGGCAGTCCTTCAGTACATTTTGGAGTTTCTGGTCCAGAACATAGTTGAGTTGTTCAGTGGGCTTGGGGTCGCTGCTACTCTGTCAAACAGTAGTTCATCCGTGATGGATGCAACCTCGGCTTACGGTGTCGTAGATAACGTCGATGTCGGCATCACCGAACTGCTCCGTCCTGCTGGTGTTGGTGGGATCGGCGGCGTCATAAAGGTGCGCCCGGAAGACTTCTGTGTTAACGAGGTGAGGAGCTGCCTACAGATGTTAGCCTGCCAGTCCGGGGACTTGTGGTCAGATTCGACTATCCGATGGCACCGTTGTCGAGATGCCTCCTGACGTGGACTTCACCGATGCGGGATCGACATGCGCTTCTACACCTTCGCCAGATGAGAGCTCAGCAGGTGACGGCCTGAGTTCAGAAGATTCTCGATGGGGCAGCAAGTTTATATTGGCCAAGACACGGACCGTGGGTATCTCGTATGTGCGATCATTCACTCTATTCTGGCCTCAGGATACGTTGGAGGCCGTTCATCTGCTTTCAAATGCTGTTACGTCCTATATAGGGGTAGCGGCGGGACGAGGAGCGGTGAGGGATTTCGGTTTTGCTGGTATCAAGGACAGTTGGGCGGTCACGGTCCAGGAGGTGTGTGATTGGATGACACAGTATGTGTGGGGTCGTAGACGTGCTCTTAGGTGACAGTGAAGGGAGTGGCCACTGAGGAGCTGGAAGGAGCCGTGGCGCGCTTTTTGCCATCCTCGGTTCAAATTAGGGTGAGCACTGTGGCAATTCACATAGAGGTCGAATTCCCCCAGGACTGCCGCCCTTGTGATCGCGAGGATAAGCTCAGACCAGGAATGCTCGGGGGCAACCGGTTCCGAATCCGAGTAAGTTGGCGAGTATTTTCTGGCCCCGTATCTCGCATGTTCAGTTTGTAGATTCGCGAGGTCCATCCAACAGTGTCGCAGCAGCAGCTAGACGATACACTCGGCCATGTGCGGGACCACGGCTTCATCAATTATGTCGGCATGCAGAGGTGAGTCCTTCCTTCACAGCAATGCCAGCTACTGTCGGCTAAGGTTCGGTAAGGGCGGCGTTGCCTCCCCTGATGTCGGCCTGGCCTACATCAAGAGGGACTACTCGGGTGCCATCGATCGCCTCATGTCCGATCCAGCTGCCGATAAACCGGTTTCTGTTAAGGTGAGGAAGTTGTCGTCCCAAATGCATCAGCTTGGGGCTTTGCCAGGGTGGCCATACTACTAAGCATAACAGCAGTAGCTGGCAGAGTGTGTGGAGAAAGACGTAGGTCAACGAGCCCACGTATGGCGGCTTTGGACTTGACGTGTCAGTTACTGTGCAAGTGCAGTTCTCGCAGCGATGGATCGCCAGCTCGGGAAGAGCTCGGGGGCGGCCTATGCACAGAGGCGCGTTATGGAGCATATGACGGTGGCACAGGTGTGTTCAAGGACCTCATCAAACCGCTTCTCCTCCCCTCCTCCTCCTTAGTCCCAATTGAATATGGATTGGAAAGCCAGTTGCCGCTACGCTTTCTTATCCATACCCAAGTACCTCAGGATGCTCTATGCTCATGCGTAGGCGGGTGTTGTCTCGTATCAGTGTGGGTGTATGATAGATCGATGGTAGGTACTTTGACAGAGTGTGGAACCTCGGGGCTAGTGCCTGGGTCAACGAGTCCCAATGTCGAGATAGTGGTAGAGAGAAGCCCCTCCCGGGCGACCTCATCCGCATTGGATCCAAGATGGATGGCTACGTCAAATATTACGATGAAGAGGAAGATACTGATGCTACTGTTTATGATGTGGTGAGCTCGACGACAGAGTATTATCGCTGCGACATGATTATTACGGAGCTCGGAATTTGCAGCTTGCCGTACTGATACATTGTCTCCAGGTGCTCCCAAGGCCCGGTCGTGACGCTCTTTTCCCTGATAATTTCGTTGGAACGGTGATGCGACAATACTAGTGAGTGAAGACTTCTGCACAACTACGGTGGTTCGATATGTTATATTGTCAGTGCCTTTGATGGTGTGGATGTGGAAGATGTGACGGTTGAACAGAACCAAGCTGGAGAGGTGTGGGATATTCTAGGAGATTACCGGAATGTAACTCTCTCGTCGCTGCTTTGTTATGGCCAATCACATCGCAGGTTTTATCGCGAGCCGCTGGGTTGAAGTGGCAACTAGTCGAGGAGGCTGATGTCACCGGAACCATCCAGCGGCACTGCAACACCGAATTCAGCCTTGCCCCAGGGCAGTATGAACTGTCAATGCTTGCTGATTTGAAAGTATGAACTTTTCTGTTTTTCAGATACGCCACAATGTTTCTGAGAGAAGTGATGGAGTTGAAGGAAGGCGGCCGAGGCTGCAAGAAGCGTCGAATTATCTTTGACGATTCTGATGACGATTGACTGACTTGTATTTAGCGGCCATATCATGGCCAACAACACTGACGTTCCTGTTCCTTTGATCTACTTTGGTTACTATTGTGTAGTGTTTGCCGTAAGTGCTTCGCCATGTACGCCCCGAGACACCATCAAGAGGAGATGGTAAAGACGAATCTTAACATACTATCCGTGGTGAAGCTGATGTGATTCTTACTAACTCCGAAACCTCTCAAGAAGAGCTGCTCGCCATTTCACAATGCTCTAACAGGGTGATAATACCTGTGCTTAATCGTATACCAATGGTTCTAATTTAACTAAACTGGCGAAGTTTGAGGACTGTTCCAAGACGCTCGGAAATGATTCGGGAGCCGTTGGCAGTGGATCGCGCGAGGGTGTCAATGGTGACTTAAGGAGAAGGTACAACTCTGGTTGACAGAAATATTTCTCCCTGACCAAGTTACACCCTCCGGAGACTCGTGACTCACGAGTCGTGAGGGTTATCTTGAGACTACGTAGAATACATTTCTGAAGGACTACGTTGCAACACTGAGGTTCATACTTCTGGAAGCTCTGAGCTACTGTGAAGCAACTGGCTATGATAGTATTGTATCGAGAGGGTCCTCATCGGGTAGCTGATCTTCCTCAGCATCTACAGCGTCTGGGACAAGGCCATCGATGGCAGACACCTGAGGTCGCACTTCTGGTGCGAAGGGCCCGCCAGATAGTTGAGGCACGAGTCCGGCACTGCTCTGCCTGGTGAACTGAAATCATCAGTTTCCCCACTCGCATTCTTCATGTATCACAACTCACCGTATTGTACGCCTTCATCGACCCTGCGCTACTGGCCGAGGAGCTAGAGTAGCTACTTGATGCGCTGTCCATACCACGGCTACTGTACTCTGAGAAGCTCCGCCTAGTGCTGGCTGCCTCACCGTCGATGAAGTGGGCCTGCTCGTACGCACTGCTCTTCTCAGCGAGGTCTCTCTCGAGTTGCCTAGCGAGAAAGAGAAGGCAGTATGGTACGGAGAATATGGCGTTACAGTCTTCTCATGTTCAGCATTACTGTGAGGCTCAGCACTAATAGGGTAACAGCTAAGCCCACTGTCCAGCGAGGTACAACAGTACGCACACCCCCACGATACCCAACTGGGGGGCCCACTCTATATCTGTGATCATTGACACGCTGTAATGCCCTCAGCTGAAGAGGCAACCCTCACACTGTGTGTAGGCGGTCCCTGGTCTTGGGGAGGGCCCGCGCTCCCAACGTATTCACACGAGCTAAGCCTTCTCCATCCGGTCGGGCATTAGTTCGTTCAAGCGGGCTGTGCTGCGGCGGCATCACAGTATCGCTTGGAACTGCTCGGGGCGACTCGAATGTGATTGGTAACTCTGTTGGGGCATGCCCCTTTACGTCACCAACAGGGACGAGCTTCACCTGGGAGGGAGCATCGCCCGAATATGTCTTCACTTTCTGCGATGCCTAGTGTTTATATCACCGACCCATCTGATACATGCCAGCGCTAATAGGGATTTATCCAGAGAAAAGGTGATAACGTAATGTAGCACTCTCGTGAGAGGTGACTGTGAGACTTTCTACGAAGGATGATCGTGACGATAACGGGAGTTGTTAATGTGATTCATATGAAATGCCATTTCGAGGAGTGGACAGGCTACCTACAGTAGCGAACTGGTGTACTGCCACTCTGAAACCTTTATATCTGAAAGCGCCGAGAGAGTGGAGACGAGTTAACAAAGTTGTGACGAAGTCTGTGATCCGAGAGGGTACTTTTCTGCGGCCTTCCGTCGTTGTTCCTCTGTAAGTCTGGGGCAGACATTAGGCCACACGTCAGGATCATCACCAAAACAGCAAATGGAATTATTTCTCTCCATGTACCTCACAAGCTCGACAGTACCCCAGTGAATAGCAACGCGTAGACGTGGTATAGGCTCACATGAAGGGCTCGGGGAGAGGACATCCTTTGCCCGACTTGATCGCGTGGGAAAAGGTTGGTCCCAATGGGAAGAAACTGAGAACGGCTCCACTACCATCTGTCGTGCAGTCTCTGTGGACCACAAGCATTCGCTCATGAGAAGTCCATATGACAGTTCGCGTCAGGAAACCTCCCATTAGCGGTCGCTCGGCAGAGGCAAGCTCTAGGTGCTTCTACTTCGGATGCTTACAACTCGTGATGTGCCTTTTCTCTCTTTGCATCAGCCCCCTTGATCGTTAGACATTTGGTCAGCTTGGCAGTAACCCAAGGTTGGCACAGCTCAACAGCAAGAGATGCAGACACATCTGACTCGACGAAATAACTCGCAATAGGCCTTCACGCTTATTCACACCTTTTAAGGATCTGTGACTTCTACTGTGCACATGGCCTGTCGATGGGAGCAGGGCGACTCTACCGCCTTGTTTATCAAAGGACGTCATGGTGTACTCGGAGTGTTCATCAAGAGAGCCAGAATCGAGACCTGTCAGCTCAGTCATGCATTTGAGTGCTAGTAGAGGCAATTGAAAATGTGCCACACGTACTCCTAAGCGATTTCTGGACGTTACTATGCTCAGTCAAGAGAGGCTCGGCAACTTGAAGTTATCGCAGAAATCTCACCGTAGTCGATGCCTCTGTCCCCTGAGTAAAGGTTCATACCACCACTCGCCATTCGCAAGTTGGTTTCCGGTTGGATAGTGGACAAACCGATCCAGAGGAAGCTAGGGCATACAAGTAGTCGGCGCTGCATAGTTGTAAAAACTAGGCAGTAATAAGTTGCCTCTTGTATCATCGCTGCCATGCTAAAATCACAGGAACGCCCCATGGTTGTAACAGTGACGTGTTCCGATGCTCGTTGCATCACCAGCGCTCAACAGTTGGCATTTGAACCTCTCTTACTAAAACCTAACCTAGTCATTTTTTGGCCGTGCGCGGTTTATCTTGCGCTGATGCTGCCCGCGCACGCCGAGTTTTTGATCATTTTTGGTAAGCCCACGGCGTAGGTTCGGAACGCCTTTTCACGAGGATTTTTTATCATGCTTCAACATCGACCACTTAGCCTGGTTAGGACGATCCGGTCGGGTCCTCAAAGACTACCTGCCACCTTACGGAGGTGTCTTTCTGCTCTTGCGACGGCCGAGGAGGCATCTGCTTCTGAGCCTATAGAGGGAGAGGAAGCTGAAAAGGCCGAAGCGGTATCCGAGGCGCTGACACCCCCGCACTGTATCTTCCCTCCGTCCCAGGTGATGAGATTCCTGTTCGCCATACCACACCTTCATGAACATCTGTTAGATTGATATGTCGGCGCTGGAAGGCGATCTCTGGACGTTTCTGGGTCCTGAGGGGTATCCTGAGGAGTTCCTCGTAGTGCAGTTTTTGAAAGAGAGATTGGAAACGGTAAGTAATCTCCATAACTCGCCATTCGTTGAGTTCTTCGACCTGCCAGGAAGATGCCATAAAGAGCCTTCAGCCTCATGACTGTGTCGTGGTCTTCCGTATGGTGGAGCGGTTCGTCCATAGTTGGGAGAACAAGAAGGAGCTTGCGCCTGTCCTTGGGTAGGAATGTCCACCCTTTGGGGTTAAGACAATGTGTTGTTACTGATCAGAGCTATCTTGCAGCGGCTGGAGGAGACCAGTGTGCAGGCCTCAAAGAGGCTGATATCAGTGCTATTGAGTACACTGAGAAGTGTTGGGCAGTGGGCCCCTGAGTATTCTGATCTGCGCCAGGCGGCAGAGGGTCTTGGAAGGAAACTGGTAAAGATATTCATCGAAGAGAGACGGGTAGCACCATCACGATGAGCGACTCGCTCGTGATAGGTTGGGGAGGCGAAGTAGGATTCGAATATCTAGAGCAATGCTGTTTTTGAATTGACCAAATAGGATGCGAATCTAAGCCTAGGACTGCTCGTCAATGTGGGAAATATGCACATTGTCAACAACATTGTTATTGATTTTATGTACAGTTATTCTCTTATTCGTGTGTGAAACTTGTAAACCTAGTGCGGAGACTCCTCAGTTCAGGTGAGGAAATCTAACATATATTCCTACGCTGGTCCGTTATAGTCTCAACTGGAATGCCCGATGAACTGAGACTCGCATTGAATGTCGGCCTAGTGATGAAGTGCTTCTCCTCTGTTTCCTCTTCCATATGCTGGCCGGATGGACCTTTCAGGACTTCGCAACTCCATCTCGGTATCTCGGTCGGCTCTGTGCTTACCTGGTAGAGTACCCGGGCTGTACGTCAGCAGCAGTAGTTGAGTTCATCGACGCCACCTCGACTGAACTATTGCGGACAGGAGGGGCGGGGTCCTTGGAGGAGGACGTTAGTGAGAATGTCCGACATGGTGGTCTGACATAGGATGGCCGCCGTTTGTAGGCTCGCTCGTGTGGCTGCTGAGGTGGTGGTCAACGCAGACCCTGACGAGTAAGATGAACGATAGGGAGACTCGGAGGAAGATCAAGGAGGCGGTTCAGCTGGCTAGGAACAACGCTGCTGATATCAGTCATGAAAATGCAGTTTTGGTGAATCGAAGGCATAGAGCTGAGGGGTAGGCGGTCGTCCTTTGGGGCTAGGTACTAGAGGCTTGTGGAGGCCTACCACCGATGACTGGTATGAGCGACCTGGTCTATGTTGCGAAGTTACGCCTCTTGCGAGAGCCATGGCTGAGTCCTGTAGGCCCTGCTATCGGGGCCTTAGGGAGACTTGGTGGGGTGGCCCTTACGGTGGTAGTTGTTCGATTACGTCACCCGCAGGTGCTTGGAATAAGAGTTGTAAGACTATCTACAACGTGTTGTCGTATAGAGCCAGCTTGCCTGGTATGGGCCCTGATGCACTTAGTGCTATGGTTGGCGGTGGCCTTAGTACGACCACCCAGAACTTGGGCCGCAAAGGAGGTAGTATCGTCTCCTCTACGTGGGACGGGTGATTGGTGCTTGGTAGAGCCCGATATTGTGGGGGAGCCTCAGCCTAGGAACTCGGCTTTCCCTTGTAAGGAGTTCATCGTAGCGGCAATCTTGAAGAACGTCTTGTCTGATTTGAAAAGTGGAGGGTTGAAGCTTACTGGTGCCTCGACGGCGTTATGGGCTGTTTGTGTCGGTGGACTGCACTTGCCCTCGCCCCAAGGGGTCAAGCAAACGCTCACTCAGCGGCCTTGGGAGCTCACGGGCCTGGAGGATGGGAAGGAGTGTAATACTAAGAGAAGATGGCAAACTGTATGGTCTGTACTTCAGTGCTACTGCGAAGCTTGGTGGATGTGTCGTTGGTGTGTGGTCGGTGTAGGGGAGGTAAGCCGGCTAATCTGGCGGGCTCCTATGCTGACTCCTTGAGGGTGTGGACGCACTTTGGTAGGAGCCAGTGGTGTTGGCTTTGAGGGGAAGTGCTGTTGTGTGTTCAGCCGAGACGCTACATTACTTAGCGCTGACAGGAAGCCCTATGGTGAGCTTAGTGGACGTTAAGGAGCCTATGGTCCGAGTGCAGAAGAGGAAAGAGATGGACGAGGAATATGTTAGGAATCATAGGAAGGGATTACAGTGGGCGAAGGAAGAGCAAATTCGATGGATGAACGAGAGTCGAGTCGCGATGGATGTTACGAAGTAGCGGAGGAGTGGTATGGACGGTTGGTGTCCTGTAGGCCCTTATGTGTAGGTATATCGAGAATAGAACTCCGGGGGTGTTGCGGCTAACGCTTCCTGATGCTTCTTCGGAACTGGTCGAATTGTTAGAGCTACCAGTGTTCCATTATGGGGAGGGGTACGTATTGGATATCGACTGTCCAGAGATAAGCCCTGTAGGGCGGGCCTTACGGAAGAGGATCGCAGAGTTGATGGAGCCTCCGATGATGTGAGGAGGCCCTGCATGAGGTCGGATAGGGTCTTGGGTTAGGTATCACGTCGTAGATGGTCTGTCTTGGATGGACAGGACGACTACTAAGAGGAAGGAGGTCATCGACCGCTACACGGCAGAAGCTGAACGGCCTCAGGTGAGGTCAGTGGTCTTGGAGTGTGAGGGAGTTGATTGGTAGGTCCTATGTGATACGAGGGGTCTGTGGGTGCGACGACTGCATCGTCGTAAGAAGGACAAGAGGCGGCCAGTGGTACGCTACCTCCGCTCCACGGACTGGCGATAATAATACTAGTAGCATGATGATGATGTGCATCCAATGGGAGTGTTGTTTCCTGTGTGTTTCACGTCGGTATTAGTATGAGTTTGCGTTGTTAGCGCGTCTGCGTCATTTTCGGGCGAGCGCTTTTGTAATTGTCGCCGGTGAAAGAGCGCTCGCCCATACCCGTTTTAACAAAGGTGTTTTAGTGAACTTGCGTCAGGTCTTTAGGCTCCTTAGGGGCATCGACCGACGGCGCCTTCTGGTTTCATTTAAGTGACTTCACTGCTATGATGAGGGTATTGTTAGTGTTGGCAGTGTCCACTACCCCCTAGCCTGGGGACCAGCCTAGGGGCTGCTGTTTCTTGTCCATCAGCACTCAAGTGGTTTATACTCTAGTAGTAGCTCTCTTCCTCTCAGCTTAGTCGTGCAGGCTCTCCCTACTCGTTTATGGCCGCCACCGCTCATAAGTCCCGTAGGTCTACAGCAGCTGAGGGTCCTCCTCCTACAGCGGATGACTCGACGACCACAGGCAGCAAGAGCCTAGCGGCCAACTTGGCTGAAGTAGTACCGTCTCCCTTGGTTTGCCATACGTTGTTCTTGTTAGTCGGAGATATCCTACACGTTGTCGCTGCTCATCATGTCGCTGTGCGAGATCGAGACTGTCAAGCCTGGAGACGTTTTCCACTGGGCCTGCTCTGAGTCTCCATTATGTGGCCGGCAGCATCTTGTGAAACAATACATGCGGCTGATGGTGGTGGACCTTGAGAAGGAGGGTAAGACGAACAGGGATGGTTGAGGAGACTAGTGCTACTTAGGGATGCCAGAAGCGGCGGCGGACTTTGAGTTTTTGGACGAGCTGTATACCAAGTGTTTTAAATTCGGTGGCTGCGTGGACTGTGCGGCTGTTTACACAGTATTGAGGAGTAACGTGTTGTCGGAGATAGAGGCTCTGTAGGGTGGCGGCTGTGGGGTCGTCGTCCATTGTCACCATTGTTAGACCTGACGCCCGTAGCATCCTGGCCGAACACGACAATCGACGAATTAGCGACTGCTTTGCGTCTAAGAGCGAGAGCGCTCGGGCGGCGGCTCTCGCGGAGTGTCTGGTGGACAAGTCATGCAAGCCTTCGAGAGGACTGTTCGACTCACAGCCCATCGTTGAGGCCTTGAGGGCAGCCATGCACCAGAGGGACATGCTGAAGATGGCAGCTAGGATACTCAATCAACCTGGTATGGTGAGGAAGCACATGCACTCCCAGCTGTGGGGCCTGATTAAGAGGAAGGAGGCGCAGTGGGCCACGGAGTTGGTCGAATGCGCGTTGTTCGAGCTCCGTGGGGTGGCGCTGTGTCGGGAGGTATGGTCCCCTTGGGAGAACTGGCTGATCAATGGTACCCCACCGTCGGCGTCAGAGGACGACCCTTTGCAGAGGCTCAAGCTGCAATTGGCTATAACGTGTCTGTTGTCCCCACAAGGGGAGGGATTTGTAGGGGAGAAGGTATGGGCTGATGTTGCTGCTAACCCAATGCATGCAGCTACCCTACTGGCGGTGGTCTGTCAGAAGCCGGACTGCGTCCGTCCCGATGGTCTGCCGATACGCATCCTTTTTTCATCGGGTGCAGAGTCGGGAGCTCTGTGGCCTGTATGGTTCTTCCTAATCCAATTCCCCTACATGCGAGATGAAATGGGAGTGGTATTGCTGTCGATCTTGGAGGAGGATACCCATTCGGGTCAGCGTCTACCACTGCTCACTGTAGTGCATAAGCTGTTAGCTGAGGACAAGCCTAGGGGGGAGGCTATGGCTCGAGGAGTGGCCGATTTTGTGGCCCAGAACAAGGCTGATAAGGTCTCTGTAGAGGCTCTGAAGTGGCTCCTCAACGTATCACCGTCGTGTATACGATATCACTTGGTGGTAGTAAGGCAAGCCTTCCAGGGTCTGGCTCAGGGGATCATCCAGCAGCTTACGCATGTGTCGCCCATGACGCAGTTACAATGGTCGTGGATGTCCTGTATGGCTCACACTCTACGTCGTATGCCTGGCGCTGGGATGATGAGCAGTGGAGGGATGGACTGCTCCCTGCTATTGGCATCAATTCGATCTATGATGGACTCGGGAGGTTTGGAGGGTTTGGACGAGCACGTGTCTAGGCTGCTGGACTCGACTTGTGAGTGTCTCGAAGTCGCTGCTGCTGGTGGATCGCTGCAGGACGAGGCACGGCAGGATCAGCCTTCTCGGGGGGAGGAGACCACAGACACGGGCTCCCCTAGCAGCTCTGATTTGGAACTGGAGGAAGGGGACAACCCTATGGCAGGTTATAAAGGGGAGGTACGAAGGGGTGGCGGCGGTAGTATGATGTTCAAGTCGAGCATGTTGGCATCTAAGGGTGGTATGGGTAGCGCTGCGGTGCGACGAGAGGAGGGCCAGGGCGCCCCTGACACCAGTAAGGCAGTGGAGGCCCCTTTGGATGCTCTGTACAAGCTGGTGTTGAGTCAGCAGCCCTTTGGCCAGGTGCAGGGACAGGAGGATAAGATTGATGGTGTCGGCGCTACGAATGGCGATAAGGTCTTCACCTCCCCTAAGGCGTATAGGGAGGCATTCAAGCGGCCGATGTGGCTGGAGTGTCAGGAGGGTCTGCGTCAATCTCTCACTACCCCTGGGTCGAGCACTATGATACACGTCACAGTACTGAGGTCTGCTAGGAGGGGCAACGAATGGTATGAGCTTGTCATCAAACCGGCTGATTTCGATACGGAGACGGTTACTCAAGGAGATGTACTTCTACTGTGCAGCGCCGACAGCCCTTTCCTGTCCGAGCTCTGTAGGGGTGTACCTGTGAATGAGTGTATGAGCATGGAGGCGGCTAGTCAGAACGGCATTATCATGGGCGTCTGTGAGGGGACTAAGGACGCTCTGAACTATTCGGGGTCGAAGGCTGATAAGGGTAAAGTGGTGCTACGGTGCATGCCAGTGGGGCCGGCCTGCCCTCTCGGCCTTTCACCTCAAGAGAGCATCCAGGGACGGGAGAGTGTTGCTGTTGTTGTCCACAGTATTCTGGCTGTGAGCAGGGAATGGGAGGCCTTGTGGAGTATCGACTCGGCTCGGAAGCTCCTCCCTATCGTATTGAACCCCGCGAAGGCCGCAGCTGCTGAAGCTCAGGAGGGCAGTAGTGAGTACCTCCTTACGCCGTCGACTTCATATGCACTTAACGAGGGTCAGAGCAAGGCATTGGCTTACGCCTGTGACGCTTCTAAACGGGCTGTACTCCTACAGGGTCCTCCGGGCACTGGTAAAACTAGGGTGGTAGTGGCTATACTGCAGGAGCTCCTCAGGAGGCAGACTCGACGGAAGTTCCCGATCCTAGTGAGCGCCCCCTCGAACGCCGCTGTCGATGAAATTGCTGCTAGGCTGTTGAACGCCACTGGCGGGCAGAACTACAAATTTATTAGAATCGGCAACAGCAGCAGGGTGACCCATGAGGCAGTGAAGGGTATATGTTTGGACGCTATGGTGTCCGAGGCCTTCAAGCAACAGGAGACACTTCGAAATGATGACTATGTGAAGTCTCGGGATGAGCGGTATGCTGCTATCAAGGCGCTGGATGTTCAAATACAGGAGGCGGCTGATCAGAAGGCTGTTGTGGATAGCCTGCGAGCGAAGAGGAGGGGACTGGTAGAGGCCCTTCATAAGGCACGGGATGTGTATAAGAATACTATGCGGCAGGGACGTGATGCAATTCAGTCTAGATACCTGAGGGGAGCTGATGTCCTTTTTGGTACACTGAATAGCTACGGTAGTTCTTCAGTGACGAGGAACCTCCCAGTGGGTAGGGCGGAGGTGTGTCTGATCGATGAGGCCGCACAAGCTCATGAGGTGGCGAGTCTAATACCACTCCGGTTCGATCCCCAGCGACTGATTCTCGTGGGTGACCCTCAGCAGCTGCCTGCCACTGTCCTCTCTATGAGGGCCTCGTTGGAGTACAACTTGGAGAGAAGTCTTTTCCAGAAGCTACAGGAGGCGTCTTGGCCGCATCACGTTATGCTGACCACGCAGTATCGTATGCATCCAGCGATAGCAGCGTTCCCGTCCAAGCACTTCTACCATGGAGCCTTGGTACCCTCTAATAGTGTCCTCTCCAGGCCGCCCTTCGCCCCTCACATGCCGGGCCCTATGACCTTCTTTGACCTGCCCGACTCAGAGGAGGTCCGTCGAGGAGTTGGGCGGAGTAACCCTGCCGAGGCACTCTTCATTGGCCGACTACTGCAGGAGCTCATATCAGCTCTTGGGGACAAGGCTAAGACTCTGTTGCCTGACGGTCTGGGAGTCATATCCCCGTATAAGCAGCAAGTGGCTCTACTGAAAAGGAATCTCAGCTACGGGTCGTTGAGTGATGAGTGGCTTGAGGTTGGTACGGTAGACTCTTTCCAAGGCCGGGAGAAGGACGTCATAGTGGTGTCTACGGTGCGTAGTAGTGCTAGCAGTGGCATCGGATTTGTTGCGGACATGCGGCGTTTGAACGTTAGTATTACGCGAGCTAAGAGGGCACTATGGATCGTTGGTGACTCTCAACGGCTGAGTAGTGGTTCCACTGAGTGGAGGGACTTGGTGCAGCACTGCCAGAATACCAATGTTATTCGTGACGCATCAAGGCTTTCTCCTATACACCTACGTACCCTTCTGAGGGAGCCTATCCCTGGGGCTTCTCCAAGCTCTACCGTCATCCATGCAGCCCCACCTAAGAGGCCGCGGCTGAAGCAGTACTACTGAGTAGTATATGAAAGTAATCATAATTGTTATTACTCTTCCAATGTACTATTACTATGTTCGATCATTTAGTGTTTCTCTAAGTGCGTTACCGTCGTTGTGTTGTTAGTGGGGGGGGGGGGGGCAGGCGACTTGGTGGTTACCCCCTCAACGGCATTGGCAGCAGTAAAGGTGCTTTTCCTGCTTGACTGCTGTGATTGGTCGATGCCTCTACTCTCAAGAGGATACGAGTAACCTCCCATCTGGTCATCAGTAACGAGAGTAGGTTTGAGAATGTGCGCCGAGGTTGCAATTGAGCCTTGATGAGCCCGCATGAGGAGGTCTCGACGACCATAATGATTCCACTTCCATCACTAATCGAGAGGAGGTCAGGGGCCGATTTCGATTCCTTACTTTTGGCTACCCAGTAGATAAACTGCTTGCGAGATTCGGCCACCAGTGAAATCATCAGCTTCGCAGTCTCGACGTTCATCAGGAGTTACGTATACAGCAGACTCTGGACTAAGCCCTTGGGTTGATCCCGAAGGGTTGTAGATGGTCATAATCGCTGTTTTCAGATAGCCGTGGAGATGACTGCCCTCCTTCCCACCGCTCAGTGCTCAGCAGCTTGTTGCTTTTCTCTACAGCGCCCACTCGACGTGATGTCGGAGTGTACCAGGTTGATCACTCGGGCGGAGAATGATGTACTCCTTGGATGTCCACCTTCACACTCAGTGCATGCTTCAACCGTTCATCCGCAGAAAGTGATATCCGTATCTGATAGTTGTCGTTGTTGTGTTGACAGGAACTGGTCGGGCGATGAACTCCTTGGAATTGTTGTTCTCTATCTTCGCACTGCGCTGTATGGGAAGTTGATCTCATTGTATTGTGCGGCGGCACGCAGATTTCTCGTTCACCTGAAGCAGTAATTTTTCTGAATCAATCGTCTCTGGATGACCACCATTACAGCGACCGAAGGGGACAGGGAAATGGAGTATCCGACCCCAGTTAGCGTCTCGTCGATGCTGCGTGTAGGTACGTCCTCATCGGCACGCGGTCCGATGCCTCAGAAAAGCGGCCGAGCAGTCTCAGCCTCGGCATCGCTGATGAGAGTCCTTGCCAGTTGGTGGAGCTCAGCTTTGACGGTTTGACGGCGACCTACATAGGCCGGTAACCACGCCAGTCGAGGAGGAGGAGGATGTCGTGTATGGTCTCTCTTCGGCAGGGCATCACATGCGGATGTTGCTGCCGTCCAGGCTGACTGTCCAGTGCCCTTGGGGACCTCAGCCTACTATTTCGAGATGACCATCTTGGACACGGGTACGGTAGGGGCCATCACCATCGGGCTCACCACCAGCGGCTTCCTGCTCAACCGTCAGCCTGGATGGGAGATACAGTAGGTGTCAACCCCATCGCCTCGTGTTTATCATTGTGCACCACAGTTCCTTCGGCTATCGAGGGGATGATGGTCGACGGTACTCGAACAGCACGAGCGGGGACAGTTTCGGCCCGACTTTCGCTAAAGGGGACACCGTGGGCTGCCTTGTTGACTACGCTCTCGGTGTTATTCGATATACCAAGTAAGTTTGATCACCCGTGACATCGCACAGTCTAGAGTCTTGGAGCAGGAACAGCAAGCTCTTGGCTCCTGTGGGTGGTAGGCTACCGCGGTCGTCGCCTCCCATGAGGTTTTATCCAACTGTAAGTCTCCATTCGCCGGCCGCTAAAGTGATGGTCAACTTCGGTGAGCACCTCCTTGTGACTCTACCCCCGAGGATGGCGTTCAGGGAACAAACCGTTCGTTTTTGACTTTCATCGCTTCCAAGCGGAAACTCTGGATAGACAACGGGAAGCTGTAGAATCGTATGCGGACGAGGTCACCAGGCCGCTCACTGAAAAGATCACTCAATGCGATGGCATGGTCCGAGCATTTCTACTGGCACGAGGTTATCACAGGACACTTGAAAAGTACACCACGAGCTGTCCACAGTATTCGCGCCAGCCCTTCCAGGTTTGATAAAGAAATCGAGACTCCACAGAACCGCTCCCCACGAGTTGACGGTTCGAGCCAGAGCGCCAAATCGCCGTCGCGGGAACGCAGTCCAACGGTCATGCTAATGGTACGTTGCAGTGAGTGCTCCTGTTGCTGAGCAAGTGATACCTACTGTAGGCTCTATGACCAACTTGAAACAGTTTGCATGGTCCCGGGATCGCGAAAGCGAAATGGCCAGGCATGTGGAGGACCGATCAAGTAGGGTTTAGGTCCAGTCGAAGGGCGACGAACACCATCCATTCTTGTATAGGAATTAAAGAAGCCATCGTCCAGGGCGACATCTCCTCTGCGCTTATTATGATAGAAAAAAGGGCGCCGGAATATCCCACTGTAAATCTCCCTCGTCTTCATTTCGACCAGAGGCTCATTCTTCAGCACAACCCGCCTCTCTTTGGTTACGTTCTACTATTGACACAGTGCTTCATAGAATTGATCAGAAGGGAAGAGCTCAGCGCTTCGGAGGTGTGGTACGTTTGAGAGTCGCGAGTTCCACGTTTCCCCCATAGACGGTGGCGTGGATGCATAAAAATCTTGCGCCCATTCGGAAGCGTATTTTGTCTTGCAACAGTCCGGATTCAACCAGGAGCCTCGAAGCTCTCCGTGAGGTTTCATCGTTGCTTGCATACAAACACATGAACGAGGTGAGCAATCGCTCAGAACCTGTGGCAGTTGCCCTTCTGATCCTTAGAGTCCGCTCCGTGATCTGCTCCATCCATCGAGGAGGAAGTTGGTGGCCGACCTTGTGAATGATGACCTTGTGTGCATCATGAGTTCGACCACCGGGATGGCGTCTACGAGATTCGCGGGCTGGTCTCCCATTCACGTCGCCCTCCGGCAACTCATTGCTACTAAAGAGGTCGGTTCCTCCATTCTTTGTAACACAGTACTTCATGTTAAGGTTCTGCACACTCACCACATGGGTGGTAGTGGGCCTCTGCCCGACTCGCGTCTACTCTGTCACGGCATACACAAGACGACTAAATGGGTTGAAATTGGCAATTGGAAGGTCAAAAACGATTGATGTCCGTCCAAGTTGTAACTTTTCTGTGCTCAAGGGTTTTATTGTGTTACGGTGGCTAAGTCTAAGTACGCCGTGCCGTTGGCATTGGACATTGAACTCAGACACACAGCGGCTGAACGGGAAAATAAGGTGAACCTCTTCCTCTCCTGCGAAATCGAATTTCCTCACGGAACAAATTATTCACTCCAGCTGATTCATCACCTTGAGGAAGGAATAATTCTGTATAGACACTTGTGGAATACCAAAGAGATGATATTTCTGATAGAAATTTTCTATCAGAATTATTTACCGCCAGCAGAGTTTTCCATCAGGATTGTCCACATGCTCTACCTCGGGTACTCATCCCCAACTGCAAGAGCTTTCCTTCACTATCTCAATCAACTGGTTGAACACAAATCTGTGAATGTGAAGAGACGCACTTACAACTGAGATCCTATTGTTATTAATAATGATAAAAACTTTCAACAAATCGACCGTGTCACTGCAAGTCACATCTTGGACTTACCGAACTGCCTCTCAGTCGATTCAGACCCTTGACTGGCAGTGGAGGTAGATCCACCAGTAGCCAGGCCGACCATAGCGTCCATGAAGTCAGCACCACTCCACCTCTGATGCGTCAGCAGCTCCACCTTGTTGGCACGCTCGGCCCTCTGCACATCTCTAACATAGGCGAGCATGTTCTCCTTGGCATAGTTCTTGGCGAAGACGTCGCTATGCAACCCGGACAGATGAAAGCCCGCCAATGTGATAAACTGCCACACATAGCCCAGCTTCCCGATATCCTTCTGGAATGAAGCTATCTGGGAGTCCGTCATACCAGCAGCATCCCAGTTGAAACTTGGAGACAAGTTATAGCCGAGAAGAATCTTATCACCATGCACCTTTTTGACAGCGGTTGCAAAATCGAAACATTGAGAGTAGACGGGCTTCTTGGACTCCATCCAGAGAACATCGCAGTAGGGCGCGAATGCTATACCACGGCTAATGCACATACGAGTGCCGCATTTGATGCGATAATACCCCTCCCTAGTACGAGGGAGATCCCAGCACCAGAAGGGAACCGTACCGAGCAACCTCTTAGCCTCAGCACGCATCTCATCGATGCCCATGAACATACTCTTCTCCTCCCATTCGGTCACAGACTTGCCCATGGCCTTCAACTTGCTCGAGACGAGATCAGGAAAGGTGGTCAGCTGGGCGTTCATAACCCAATCGGTCTCAAGCTTGCTAATCTCCTCGGCAGATGCTCCACGATGGACAGCCGCGTCGACCTTTCCCTGTAGAGATTCCTTCACGTTCGGGTTAGAGGCACCAACAATAAAGCTGTGATCTCTAGAGTCGATGTTAGTGTCCAACAGCGTAGCAGCTTCAGCATCGGTACGAGCAACTATAATAGTCTCAACACCGAGAACGTCGGTCATCAACCGAGCGGCCACGAGACGGTCAATGTGTTCTCTAGTAGAGACGAGCACTTTGCCGCCCATATGACCGCACTTCTTGGTGCCAGGCTTCTGGTCCTCGAGATGGACACCAGCTGCACCACGCTCCACCATCATCTTCATAAGCTTCATCACTGCAGTCAAACCACCGTGACCAGTATCACCATCAGCAATGATGGGGGCGAAGTGATCAACAGCCGGAGTAGCCTGGCGTTCGGCCTCAGTCATACCAAACCTCTCCTGATGCTGCTTCTGGTCGTGGAACACTTGAGCACGGAAAAGTTGGTCAACTTTGTTCGGGACGGTGTTATAGGGATAGTCGGCAAAGTCAGGGCCTGGCTCGTTAGAAGTGGAGGCCGTTGAGGAGCTTTGCCAGCCTGAGACATAGATGGTCTTGAGGTACTTGGCCATCTGAGTCACTTGAACAGGATCCAGGGCGCCGAAGGTAGGAAGGAAACCACCAGTCCGTTGAGCTTCCTTGAAGGACGTCCACAGCTTCTTGCTCATAGCATCAGCAGGGTACTTGGTGCGGCCGGCCTTCTGACCACGAAGACGAGCAACATCCTCCGCCGAGTACAAGCGGCGCTTGCCGGTCCAACGTTCGGATTGCCACCACTGCTTGATCTCAGCCACGTCAGAGGCGAACTCAGCAGACTCGACTGATGTAGGGATACGAGACATGATTCCGGAAGGGTTAAAAGTCCCTGAGTTAGGTGAAGAAGTGACAACGAATCACACGCAGTACACACGGCAGAATCTTGCGCTCGCCCTGATCGATAGCCCACTTCGGCACGCGAACACGTGTCTCAACTGGGATTTGAACCTCGGACCTTAGTTTATACAGGCGAGAGGTAGGGCAACGCCGCGTAGTAGCAGCAATCGTGCGGCGCACCGATTATTCAACCAGTGAAGTTAGGCAAGATCTCAATTTGCAAGATGTCTCTTGTGGTGCAGCACTATGCATTGTGACTGGTACGACGCGCATTCACACATACACACGTTGTGGTTGCATGGCGTTGGGTCGAACGCCGCCAATGAAGAGAGGCAGTTTGCATATCTCACGGACATTCCTATCGAGAATTATAAAGCGCAGCGTTGAACTTCCGAGCTCATAAAGGTCACTTGATATGTAACTCAACGCAGGGGAAGAGACAGAAAAGCATGTTAGACATGGAAGGGTACACTGACTAGGACCCTGCCTGGATTAGCCGGCAGTGCTCACGATGTATGCGCCAGTGCGCGACCTAAACAATCACAACGGTGTGGCGGTCAAGGCCCATGCTGTACCTGGCATTGTCGAGAGCAGTAGAACTCCCGTTTGCAACGCGTGCAACGCTGGTCTGCATCCTTACCGCACTCGGGACACTTGGGTGTCTGAGCTCCTCAATGACTCCAACGACAGCACCAGTCCGTTACCTGTAGTTCACCGCCGCTTTCCTCCATGGCCAAACGCCACTCGTCAGGTATCGACACCATTTTGGAGAGCTTCTTCAACCCTCCGGGACCTTCCTTCTTGTCAGCAGCTTCCAAGTCGGATAGTTGATTCTCCGCAGCCTCCTTCCATCTAAAGCGGAGCTAATCAAAGGGCAGTAGCTTTTGCGACTCACTTTCCTCGATACTTCGATTTAAGTCCTTCGATAATCTCGGCCACAAGCTCGACACTGAAGGCACTAGCGGCCCCCGAGGACATCGACAGACCCCCAAAGGGATTGCTACTATCACCAACCCCAGCGACCATGCGCCCTGTGCTTCATATGACCAACGACGTCTACGAGCCCTCGAGGAGTGTTCAAACGCACCCGATATGGCGAGCTCCTCCAGAGCCCTCAACAGCACAGACAGCACCGGCAACTGCTCGAAGACTGTCTCGTTGAGATACTTGCGCAGCCTACATTGAAAGACATAGGGACATGCCCCGTAACGATGGGAGTAACCTCAGCAGATTGTCCACGCGACACTGCGAGTCTAGGGAGTACTGTTGCCGGCAGACCGGGTCCATAAGGAGCTGGTAGATAGCCAGCCACACTTGACCCTAAGAGTAGCCATGACTCACGAAGGGACAGGAGCAACCCACCTGGGCCTTGGGCATTTTCACTGACCCAGTCGCATCCCCACTCATGGGCTTCCAGTTGTTGTCCTCGAACTTCTCCACCCGCCCATCAGAGGTCTTCCTTATCCACGGGGCTGCCTGTGCCACTACGCTCCATATGGTCGAGCCAAGGTATAAATGGTACCTCTAGTATAGGGACCAAGGTCATGAGGATATCATGCGTCTCTAGAAGCCTGGTAGTAAGCGTTAAGGGACAGTGAGCACGGTGCTCGCATAGGAAGCGGATGATTGACAGAGTGCACATGCATACCTGAAACAACAGGGCAGTGTGGGGAAATATGCACATGGTCAACAACGGGAAGGAAGCTACACGTGTCGGTGACAACATGAAAATTCTGAGGAAATTTTGTGAAATTCTGGTTGGTTTTCTTGTACTCTTCCACCCAAATTCGTATTTAAGCTCCTAAATTGGTGAGGAAACTGCCGAAATCACTCAGGTAAAGCAAGCATATATTTCAACACTGTAACAGAGGCGCGCTTTCACCGCTCTAGCACCGACCTGGAACTCTATCTCATCGTATTGGGTATCCAAAACCTCCTGGTCGGTCTGGGCGATAAGGCGTTGACGGCGATCTTCCGAGCTCTCTTCGGCCAACTGCACAGACCTACGCGAGCCGTCACGAACATCCGACCGCGAGTCCCACTGTTTGATCCGCTTCGCATGGAGCTCAAGGAGTCCTGCTAGCTTCGAAGAACAGTAGTCCACCTGGTCACAATGAGCAACCAACCTCTGAGGTCCGTGACGATTACAAGGTCCACAGTAGCATCTCCAGCAGCCTCGACTCCATCTTGATGGAATAGGAAGACCTGACTGTGATGGTGACAGGACCAGAGCTTCTCACTGCTGACCTCGAGTAGATTGATGACTGTAGCCTCGTGATACAACGGAACGTAATTACGCAATGATGACAGCTTGGCTAGCCTTGACGATATCAGAGGATACGCTTGAGTCTTCCACGTCCATATCAGAATAAGCTCACCTAGGTAATGACCAGGCCTGTCTTTCAATCTTTGAGCATACCGATAAGATCTTTGATGCGATCTTCCCGCACAAATGAATCTTTGATGAACTCATCAGTGCCGTCTACTGCTTGAGCATGAGCCTCCTTATTGAGCCTCTCTAACACCGCATGATTCTCCAACCACTCACTGCTTCCTATGCTCTCCAAGGCCCACGATGACGGGCCTGAGAACGATGCCTTGAATTCCACATGATGCAACAGCTCGAGTACCAAGGCGGAGATGAGTTATCAAGTGTTCCGCTTCGCATTGTGACAGAGGAAATTGACTTTCATCGATCAGGGCCGATTCACAGGCGAAGTCACCAACTTCAGTGATCATTAGCAAGACAGAAGCAAGATGGATTCCCTACAAAGAGCTCAGTAAAGACTACCATTGCCCATACATAGCAGTACTATAGCCGGTGATTGAGCAAAGGATATTCCCCCATAATCCTTCCTTATCCTCGACTACGATCACCCAATCGAGCAAGGATAGGTCCCGACTTCCTTTGCTATGAAAAGCCGCATCAAACGTTCACAACTGATCTCATACTTTGACCCTATGGCCGATCACCTCTGTCGTCGTTCTTGGCAATGACTCAGAACGCAAAAGAGTTGAGTAGCTCAATGGAAGTATTTGTGACAAGAAACCCAGACCGATACCAGTATAGTCACACGACATCCTCGGCGGGCCAAGTTGGCCCTACGACTAGTCCCAGTCTGGCAGAAAGACACTTCAAAGCTCATTGGGTTCTTGAAGTGCATAATTTATTACAGAAAAAGGGAGCACTCAAAGGTAGAGCGCTTCAGGAGACAAGTAACAGTTATCAGAAGGACTTGTCCAAGACGACAAGTCGCAACCTAATAACCTCAGATTAGCAAGTCAAAAGATGCACACCTGATTCGAACGGATAACTACCGTAGTAAGGCGACAACCAGGTGGCAAAAGAACAACAAGGAGCTCCACATTTCCTCATCGGAATAGTGTATATCATCAACACTAAGCTGTGATGTTAGCGGGCTCATTTTGGGGCTCATTCTCTGAAGCATGGGACGCTTCCTCATCGATAAAGCTTTTCTCGGGGAGTTGCTTCTCCTCGTACTTAATTTGACGCCGTCTCTGCCATCCGAGCCACCCAATGATTAGAGCTGCTATGAAGAAGATGATAGCAATAGCAATAAGACCACCCATAAGACCATCGAACATACCCGGAGCTGCTTGCATCACTTTGACAGTATCAAGCTGGAAGGGGAACGCCTCTTGGTGCTTGTTGAGCCAGAAGGCTGGTATGAGGCAGTCTTGAGTCATTTCGCCGGTCTTACCGTTGGCCGTAGGAGGGAACCTCACATTCATTTGCAGCTTTTGTTGTCCATTCACAAAGGCACCAGAGATAGGCTCAGTCCACACGTTGATGCGGAAGTCACGGTCGCCTTCACAATCAGGATCACCACTGCAAGAGAGGATGTCCACACGGTCACCAGGGTAGTAGTTCTGGGATCTCGAGGAGGATCCATTGACGATGTCGAAGTGAGGGAGAGAGGCATACACCGGGACCATAATAGAAGCTGGGTCAGGCGAGGCGAAGTAACCGAGGTTAAAGCTGAGATAAGGCGAATCACAGTCAATACCCTGGGCATCATCAGGGTTGGCACCATCGCAATTTTCGTTGCGAAAGTCAATGTCAGCGAGTGTCCATTTGTCAACCTTGGCACCATCCCAATCGGCGTCAGTCTCGATGTTCTTCAGCGTTGCCGCTGAGAAGATTTGCCCCACGAACAACCTGGCCGAGGCGTCCTTCTTATGATACTCCTCCGTCCCCTTGCCGTTCAGCGTACCAGGGAAGAACTTAGCGTCCCAACCATCAGCGTAGTTAGGGGTGCACACATCGTCAGCTGTACACGTACCATCCTTCTTGAAGGAGTCCTGAGCCATACAGTCACGGTCGAAGGCACAATTCTGAGTCTGGCCATTATACATCTTGTAGTAGTTGAGGCCCTTCCAACCAGGTATCTTACTACTACGATATTGCTCAGTAGGAGCACCATCAACGACAGGTTTGGCAACGCCCATCGACACTTCCTGACCGCTGAACTTATCCTTGAAAGCCTCATTATTCCACCCCAGAAGCTGAGCCACTGTCATTCGTATGAACCTTGGATAGTACTCGTAGTCTGCATCATAGACAGCGCTGCTTGGGTCAGCGTAAGGGAAGAGAGTGTACCGCATAGCGTCATAGTTAGATAGCCCATACGAGCCGGCATAGTTTAATTGGGAATGCCACGCCTCGATCTCAGATGGTTTCAGAGTCATCTCCAACATCTTCATTGCGACAACAGCACCGGTAGTATCCGTGAAATTAGTCTTCATCATGAAGTTGAATATTTTATTTCTTGAAGTTTCCGAGAAGGTCCCGAGGATCTTCTTCTCGAGGTCCACATCGGCCTGGCTATCAGGGTTAAACTTACAGCTATGATCAGCGTCCTGTTTTGCAACACAACCAAAGGCATATGCGAAGTAGTCGATCGCCATACTAGCCGGTGGGAGCATACTAGAAACGTCAATACCCTTGGCCAGAGGAGCTAGCTTGGCACCTACAGCCTGCATATTTATCTCACCATCATCCAGCATACGGGTCAGGCCAGCATCAAAATACTGAGACTCAATCGCAGCCTCTATACTGCCGAACTTAGTTGTAATAAGATTAGATATCACAGCTGGGGCCAATTTCATCATACCCATAACCGTGTTAGCCAACTGTTGGTAGGTACCACAAGTGCCAAGCATCTGTAGCATGTCCATAGTGTTCACAGTTTGGCCCATCTCAGTGACGGTACTCAGAAGAGCGAGGTTGGGGACGACCACCTTCTCCTGCAAAAGATTGGTCTCATCCTTATCGGCAAAGACGAAAGTGTTGGTCTCATTCCAGTGGGCAATACCCTCCTTATTCCACTTACCGACATCAACCGAGGCCTCGATACGCTCTTGAGTCTGAGCAGCGTGAATAGGGCGTAGCTCCTGCACAATGGGCTTGGCCCCATCCTTGAGGACCTCGGCAGGGTTAGTAACGTTGAAGGCATAGAAGTCATAGGGCATCCCCTTGAGGCACATGTCCGGCTTCGAACAGCCGTCTTTGGAAGCATCACACCAACCAGATGAGGCCGCAGTTGCAGCATTAGATGGTGTTTTCGACGATAAACACTCATCTCTGGCCTCAGTCGAGTTCATGAGCCAGGCCTGATAGGCCAGTCCAGGGCAAGTAGCATCACCCACGAACATATTAGAGCAGTCAGTTGTCTGATAGGTATTATCTATAAAGCGCATACCATCAACACCGCTGGTGTACTGACCCTCATAGGTGGTCTTGACCAAGATAGCAAAGACGATGGCGACAATGCAGATGGCAGCGGACACAGCAGTGAGGATCCAGTAGATCCAAGGGTTGCACTTTATAGGACAGTGCCCATTGCAGTTATACCAACGTGGCTTCATATTGGGAATACTCCCACTAGCACTAGAGGAACTGACAAGATAACACTGCAGTTTCACTGAGTAACACCCACAGATTTGAGGAACATAATCTCACCGCAACGTTACCCAATACCACGACAGTGTAGCTACGACGGCCTAGTCCTCGAGATCTACACAGACCGGCATTTTGCAAATGCGAGCCCCGGGATCGAACCCGCGACCATATAGAACATCCTGTAATAGCTGACACAATCGATGACTAACTCCACTGGACTATGTCCCGGTTTATCACGAATGGCTAGAGAGAAAGTAGCAGTATAGACACGCAGACATCAAGATCGGGTAAAATCACATCGAGTTCTCTACGGCGGGTGGAGTAAACGTGAACGTTAACCTTTTTTATAATACCACTTGTACGTTGTAGTAACTGGAGAGTAGGGTGAACAACAGTCAATAAGAGGATGACAAAGCCCGGTACTGAGCCACTATGGACGCGGGCCATACCACGAGAAGGAGGACCAATCCCACCAGTTCCAGAAGAGAATTTTATTTTCTGTTACGCCATTGTGATCGATTTCATGCCTACCGAAGCCATTTCATCCCTCTCGAACCTGGTGGGATGTTCATAAGGTCAGTGACATTGGCGTTTGGGAGATGCTCAGTCAGACGTATCTGGAGGATAGAACTGGATTTGGGAGTAGCTGTATTACATGGGTTAACAGTTATTCTACTTTCCTCCTCCTTCCTTCCTCCCAACGTATAATGAGCTCTGCCGAGGATTCCAATGAAGCCGCTATTGAGCAATGGAAGATCCGGAGGTTGATCAAGAGTTTGGAGGCAGCCCGGGGGAACGGTACTATTACTACTACTACTACTACCACTATTACTACTACTATTACTACTGCTACTGATACTACTACTACTACTACTACTACTACTACTATTATTATTATCGCTATCACTATCACTCGAACACTAGCTGTTGGACAGGTACTTCGATGATCTCATTGATCATCCCTCCCAAAACGCAGGTTGCTCAAATGGCAAAGATGCTGGCAGAAGAGTATTACCATTTTCCTCGGCAGCCTCGTAATGTCCAACAGGTACGGTACCGCGTCCAACATCAAGTCCCGGGTTAACAGATTGTCTGTTCTTTCGGCGATTACATCCACTCAACAGCGACTCAAATTGTAAGTTGCCATCATCACCACGTAGTAGCCACCACGATAGGCCTCTCCTAGGTACAATAGGACGCCTCCTAAAGGTTTGGTTCTCTACTGCGGTACTGTCCTCACTGATGATGGCAAGGAGAAGCAAGTTACCATCGATTTCGAGCCTTTCAAGCCGATCAACACCAAGCTGTAGGTTGCCCTCGATTGGCCCCTGATGCTTAGATACCACGCCTCAGGTATTTGTGTGATAATAAGTTCCATACAGAAGATCTGAACCAACTGTTGGAGTCTGATGACAAGTTTGGATTCCTCATTATGGATGGTAATGGAAGTCTCTATGGTACAGTACAGGTAATAGGGATGGACACCAATGGGGTTGAAAAGTACTGCATGCAGGGATCGAACCGGGAGGTACTTTACAAGTTCTCGGTGGACCTTCCTAAGAAGCATGGAAGAGGTGGTCAGTCCTCCATGCGTTTCGCTCGACTAAGGCTCGAGAAGCGACATAACTATCTTACCAAGGTAATCTATATATTTCCCTCCTACCCATAGTGTAGCTCCTCCTTCCCATAGGTTGCTGAGCTGTTAACTCAACACTTCATCACCAACGATAGACCCAACATTGCCGGCCTGGTACGCCAGTTGAAGGCTTGGTCCGAATGAGTGCGTGTCGCAGGTCTTGGCAGGATCTGCCGAGTTCAAGAACGACTTGGCCAATTCGCAGTTTTTCGACCCCCGTTTGGCCGCCATCCTCATTAAAGTGGTGGATGTGAGGTAATATTCCCATGAGGGTGGTATGATGTCGTCATTGTGAACGCTTGCCCAACAGCTATGGTGGAGAGAACGGCTTCAACCAAGCGATTGAGCTCGCCTCTGACACCTTGAAGAACGTCAAATTCATCCAGGAGAAGAAGCTCATCACCAAGTACGGCGGCAGACCACGCGAAAATGCCGAAATTGGTACCGACTTAGGTACTTCGAGGAGGTTGCTCAGGACACGGGAAAGGTCTGTTTTGGTATTGATGACACTCTCAAGGTGGGAGGGGCGCATTGTCGGGATGCCTTTGTGAATACGTCTTTGATGACAGTGCTTGGACATGGGCGCTGTTGAGACCCTCATCGTATTCGAGAACCTCGCCATCAATCGTTATCATATTCGAAACCCCCATACCGACACTGAAGATGTCCTCTACCTCACACCTGAACAGTAAGTCACTTCGTCTGGCACTAGAAGTATGTGAGCCGCTTCCAGGGAAGTACAAGAGAGTTATTTCCGCGATTCCGATACTGGGGTGGAGCTCATTGTCATCGAGAAGATGCCCATCACTGAGTGGTTGGTCAACAACTACAAGAACTTCGGAGTAATGCCATACCACACTTCTGTCCAATCATGGACCTTGGTTAGGCCAAATTGGAGTTTGTGACCGACAAGAGTGAGGAGGGCGCACAGTTCGTCCGGGGATTCGGGGGCATTGGTGGTCTCTTGCGGTGAGTGATGGTCCCACTGGAATTTAGAAGATGTTGATTTTGATTGGGATCAGTTACTCTGTTCAACTGGAAGACCTCGAAGAGTGGGAGGGTGACTCTGATGATGACTTCATGTAAATAGTGTCGTAATCAGCGTCACCATTTGCGGTATAACGAGCTGTTGATGACTGGTCCATTGGCGTTGTTGCAGTCAGCGACCTCTCCCTGGTGAGGATGACGATGAAGCCTAAGTACTGTGTATTACTTGTCTTGGTTGTAAATTTGTGGGAGAGAATATTGATGGCTTCTAGTACTAACACGAGTTTGTTCTTGTGTGATTAAGGGGAGTAGGCCACCGCCACAATGGGTGATATGTAACCATTAACCTTCAGTCAGTATGCAGCAAGGGTTCTTTCGAGGTGAGAGTCTTCTTTCGATACAGTGATGTCGTTACTTGTTGAACTAGAACATCGTCCAAGAAGGAATCTTGCTCTCTTGCATTTCCTCAACGCCATTAAAATGCGGTCGTTGTTGACAGTAGTTCGAGGACGTTGTTGTTGTTGACGATGATCATTATTATTATTGTCATCACTATCATCCATAGCTGGCTATTTTCTGTCCCATGGAGCCACAACAACAGCAACAACAGTCTTCTCTCGAGGGTAGTTACCCTAGAGGGGAAAAACGGTCTGCGGGTGGTGATGGCACTTATTGGGGAGAAACTAAAGAAGGGCGGCAGGGCGATGAGTCCTCCTCCCGACCGGCTAAGATGAGTAACTGGGATACTGCACCTTCTGGCAATACCAATACCACAACTGGAGGAGATGATGATGGCAAGTACGAACAGGGAAGGGAAAAGCTCTGACTATTGTGAAACGCTATAGGCCTTGATTCCCTTCTGAGTAGCGCGAATGATACCATAAGGACTATAATAAACTTTCTCATCAATACTACTACATCCTTCAGATTCCATAAGGATGTCCCTTTACCTCATTGGGCGGCTGGTAAGGTTATAGGAAAGCAGGGTGATACCATAAAACGGATACAACGTCAAACTCATTGTGAAATCAAGGTGCTTAACAACAACCCCACTCTTATTCTCTCTCTATCATCTCTCCTTCTTAGTCTGATAACGGTGAACGCGACACTGAGGGAAACAGGAGCCTCCACCTCGTCGGCGATACACAGGCAACTCTCAATGTAATAACGCTCGAACATCATCTCATCTCTATTGTTACGTACATGGGCAGGCGTGTGCAGCAGCCATTGAAGAGATCATATTCACGTGCCGCAAGCCTATCGTTGGTCCAGGGGACTCGAAAAAGGAAGTAGTCATATCGAATGACATAGCAGCTAAGGTCCTCAACTCCTTCTCTCGCCTTTGAAAATGAGGCTGAAATCAGGTCATTGGTTACAGAGGATGCGTGATTGACGAGATCAAACGACGGTCACATACTCGTATCGAGGTGGTCCCTACAGAGGATGGTGGACCTGGGGAGGAGAGGACAGTCGTGCTAGTTGGGCCTGAGGAAAACTGCGAGGAAGGGGTAGGGTGTTGTTGATATACCGGAGGTATCTGGTTCGAATCTAGGAAGTGTCGTTTTTATAGGCACGTATAGTACGCGAAATCGTGAGCGGTGAGCTCGACGTGTCACCGATCATTGATGACTTCAAACGGGAACATCAACTGGATGAATATGATCCTTCTGGAGGGAAGGGTGGCAAGGGCTACCACGGCAAGGGTGGCAAGGGCTCCGACTGGCGTGGTGGCAGTAAAGGCGGTTGGGGACATGACAGTGCTCGCTACACTAGTGGTGACTGGTCTGGCAGTGGTAAAGGGGGTTGGGGTAAGGGTGGTGACTATGGGGGAAAGGGTGGCTTCGGTAAGGGAGGAGATGATCCCTCGAACTACTACGGTGGTGGGGGTAAAGGGTATGCACCTAATCCCGCGCCCTATGGCGGCAAGGGCGGTGCTTACCGGAGTGATCCTTATGGAACCTCACGTTATGGTGGTAAGGGCTATGAGTATGGCAGTAAGGGAGGCTCATCAGACTCGTATGGAGGTAGTGCGGGTCGATTTGAGAGGGCAGCCCCCAGTGGTGGTGACTACTACGGTAAAGGCAGTTATGGTGGTGGTAAAGGGGGTAGTGCTCCTGGCTATGCTTACAGTAAAGGCGGCAAAGGAGGATTCGCTACCAGTGGTGAAGGAGGGTATGGGGGTAGTTGGGGTGGCAAGGGTAAAGGTAAAGGAGGAGGCTGGTCTACTGGTGGTGGAGGAGGAGGAGGTTGGGACTCTAGTCCTGAGGACTCCCCCATCCCTCACAGTGGCGGCGGCGGTCCTTCACCGTACAGTAGCAGACCGTGGGGTGGCGACCCCTCCTCCTCTTGGGGAGGTAAAGGGAGGAAAGGCGGGTACGGTTACTGAACGGCAACGTATTGGTGATTGAACGAATGTCGTAGACGTCTTAAAGCGAACAAACCCCGAATTGGTGTTGCTCTTGTTACACCTTATTTTCCTTCTCGTGGAGTCTGGTTGAGTTAGGAGGGGTAAGCTGAACTGAGAGGACATGGTCATAGCAGTTCGGGATCTCCCGATTCTCTACTGCTGCCCTTTGGACCACGTACTGGCCGCATCGAAATGACCTCGTCATATAATCAGTCCCCACAGCAACGGCAGATGATGTCTATGGCGGCAACAATGACGTCCGTAGGAGAGGCCAGTAACGATGCCCCTCATCCTAGGGGTGGTTGGGCCAGTAGCAATGCCGAGTTCACAAGGGAGATGAAGATTCCTCAGAGGGCAGTTGGTAAAGCAATTGGTCGAGGAGGGGAGACTATAAAGAGATTAAAGGAGGAGTTCAGCACGTTTGTCCAAGTACAGCTCCTATTGGGGTATGCTTTGGTGCCACCCCGTGGCTCTTTAGGTTGATCAGACTACTTCCGAGCAGGGTTTCAGCACTTTCAAGCTCAGTACCGCTACCGCTGAATCGGTTGAAGTAAGGAGGCTCTCACCCGAATTGCCTTTGTTGTTCACTCCACTTCACAGGCCGCAGTTGCCCATTTAAAGGGAGTCGTCCTATCCTGTGAACCGTGTGAGTGTATATACGTAGATGATGTTGAGGGTGCAGTTGAAGTACCTGCTGATAAGGTTGGGACCGTCATCGGGCCACAGGGGTGAGTAGTAGGACCCTCAGCTCCTCCCTGTCATTGTCGTGTCTGCAGCTGCGTATTGGATGAAATTCGCCGTCGTAGCGGTTGTAGGGTGCAACTCCAACCAGTCGACGTAGAAGATGGAACAAGTCCCCGTTCGGCGAAGATTGTTGGCACGGCTGATGCGGTACTATCGTCTATGGTCGTCGGCATCCTTCATCGTCGGCTCCTCATCCATCAGGTTCGTGTTTGTGCAGACCTCCTCAATGACGTTATTAACGGTACTTTCGACGTTGGCTCGGTGATCAATCGCCAGAAGGCCCATAACCAACGTTTTAAGGCTGGTGCTCTGGGCGGTGGTAAAGGCAAAGGGAAAGGAAAAGGTGGTGGTGGTGGCTATTGGAACCCTAATAGCTCACCGCGGGCTGCTGCCGCCGCGGCGGCATCTGGTAGAGGTGGTGGCTTGAGTGGTGGTAACATGGGCCAGCAGAGTCTCAACTATACTACAAGTATGGGCTTTGTCCCTCCTCAAGTTATGTATACATCTCAACAGATGTATGCAGCTGATCAAGGTATGATATCACCACACATGTCAGCGGCTAACCCTGGTGGGCCCATTCCTCCTTATCTCATGTATGCCGCCTATCAGCAACAACAACAGCAACACTCTCCCACTGGCGGTCCAGGTTTATCGGCTACTGAAATTGCCATGCAGATGCAGCAACAACAGCAGCAGCCAAGATCGGCATCACAGCCAGCTACTGGTCCTGGCAACAATCAATACATCCAACAACAGCAGCCGTTGAATATGCCTGTGTCGCCCCAGGGTATTATAACACCTCAGCAAGTCATGGCTGTTCACCAGATGCTACGTCGTGAATATGAGCAGCAGCAACAGCAACAACAACAGAATCGAGCGACCCCCGAGGCGGCTGATACGTCAACTCCCGCTGTGGACCCTAATAGTAGTGGGGGAGGAGGCCAGGAAGAGCCGTTATAAAGACCCCTACAGTGAAGATTACGGTTATCAGCATCGGCAGTATGTCTGGTGGTGATCTACAGGGTCTTATTTGTATCATTTGGTCGTTGTAGTAGTAGTGGTAGCGGCCCTTGGCGGACTATGTACGAGGTTCGGAGTTCAAGTTTACTCATTAATCATAGCGATGTTGTCATAAGCTGTGAAAGCAGCCCAATTAGCAGCAATCTTAAGAGTGAGCTAATCCGTTATAGTCATTGAAGCTTGGAGTCGAGTGTTTGTATATTCATGTTGCGTTGTCACTATGGGGGATCGAACAACTTACAACACAACATGTAATGGATTGTGGGAAATCGTCACAGTATCACACACCAACCAGAGCAATACGGCTCACTCTTCACGGAAAGCGTACACGCCGTTGGACTCGATCAATTGGAATGCCCCCTCAGGCGGCTCGTTCATACCGTGAGCAACCGCGTTGCCATACAGGTCGAAAATGTTCACAGTGACAGCGTTGATACTTTTCTCCCTCACCAGGGCTTCAAAAGGCGGCGCGGCTAACTGACCGGTCGATAACACTGCAACTACTCCTTCGAGGAACGGCTTGAGACTTCTGCCCAGAGCAATGAGTCTATTGAGCACTAAAGTGTATAGCTGTGAGGCACCCGATAATGTGAGAGAGAATGTGAAGTAGTCATAATATGCTCTGAACTCTACCGCGTTCTCAGAGAAGTTGGGGAAATCCTCCTTGCAGTTGATGATGATATTCTGTGATGCTGTAACGGGGATGACGAGACAGTCCGGCGAGACCAAATCGAAGTCTATCAGCTTCAACGAGCCATCTCGAGGATCTTTCATAATATTGTCCAACTTAAGATCGTTATGAAAGGTCAATATAGAAAGCTTAGTGACCACTTCAAACAGCTGGTCCTCATCTATCTCCGAGAGGCTTTCGACAGGGACTAGTCTCTCCTGTACGAGGCACATACTGTGATCTCGACCGCCCATATGCTGACGACACCAACCATAGCCGTACACACGTCCGGTAACTCCGAGGTCGGCAGCCCTCATCATCATCTCGGGGAACCGCAACTGCAGTCGTTCAGTCTCTCTCGATGACATCCTTCGCAAAGCCACAGAGTCGTCAGCCACCACTTGGCAGTAACTCCCCTGCCCTATCCGCTCCACTTGAGGGTTAATGTCCATACCGGCTCTGAAAGTGGCGATCTTCTCCAAGTCAAAGGCTGTGATGAGGAGATCTCTCAGCTCCCCTGATCCTCTAGGGAGGGGCGTGAACCAATCAAGTGCCTCGAATGACAACCACACTCCACGAACAAGTCCTTTATTTGTCCGCAGGACCGCCGGCAGGGTATACTCGTCCTTAAGACTGTGAATGCATGGGGGTGCGGAAGGAGCACTCTTCTTCTTGCGTTGCTTGAAATATGACAACACTTTGAAATGTAACTCGAGAAAATCATAAGTAACACACCCAACTAGCTATCAACCCAACAGCAACAACAAGCAAGTCGGAGAACTCCCACTAGAGGTATGCAAATGTTGATGTTAATAATGTTACGAGTATAGCAATAATAACACAATCACCAAGGCTCTAGGTCGATGTGAACGTAGGAGTACTTATTGGCAGGCAAACTATCTCTTATCAGTCGCTCTAAGCGTTTGAGCTCTCTTGTCAGCGCCAGCAGAAACAGCGCGTCGTTCCGCATAAGCCAATCCTCTGCGCTGGAAGGGCCGCCTGACGAGGCTGCCTTCATTGACGCTGTCACACAATCAATGGGATCATCCTGAGGGGCGAGGGAGCCGTCCACAACTGCAAAGTATAAGCAACTCTCACCGATGCCCTTCCGTACGGCCAGAGCGCCCGATACGTCGGCCCTGGGCTCGTCACGGCCTCGTTAGCCTGGGTTATCTTCAACCGACGCCTCGTCACTGCTTCTGCGTTAAACTCAACTTCAGCCTTGAATCGAGCTGTCGTCTAAAGCTGAGCTAGTAGCCAAAAGACGGTTGGTGTTCTTGCTGTACCGTGCCAACCAGCTCCGTCTTAACATCATAGACTCCGACAACTACTGGGTCGGCCTCTAGTGATCGAATAACCATCTCAACTTCATCACTTGGGAGGGTCGCCCCAAGCAGAAGCTGTGTGCCTAGGGGAGATCCATCACCAACATCCAACCACGAAACCTAGCTACTCCTTCTGAGAAGATAGGCTCCAACCCCACTGACGACCCCAGACATCAATAACGATGCCATCATGTCCGGTATGGGAGATGCAAGGCAATAGGAGGCGACCTGAACGAGCCTCTAGGGAAGGGCAGAGACAAGCGATAGGGGCACGTACCACTCCCACTATCCCTATCGCAGCACCAAGGATACCACTGCCAGCCTCCAGAAACGTCGCGACTGGCATGACCTGACAATGCTGAGGACTTGCCGACCGAGCAAGACTGAGAGGCTCACGTCGGCTCCAGATCGAATCGCCTCAGAGAGGGCCACATTCTGCTGGCGGAGCTCTCGATATGCTTCGTTCAGCGCAAGTGCCTCCAAGGACGCCGATACGAGGAACATCCCAACCTGAAAGGAATACCCCGATCTCAGCAGCGCCTTCTCGAGCCACTACACTTACCGGTAGAGCTATGCCTGAGCCCAAGCCCAGCATCGACCCACCAAGAGCCGTAGAAGTAGCCGTTGTGGCGGGCAGTGACGACACCATCATACTGCTATAGTAATGCGAGAATAGGTCTTTGGTTGCCGTGTACCTCATAGACAACAACAATACACTATTCATTGACAAGGGAGGGGCCTACATCGGTATCATACCACCCACTGCAGTGAGGATGAAAAAAGACCTGTCAGCCGCAATGTTACGTTGCCGACCATATCCGTATCTAACGCCGCCAACCTAGAGATTCATCACTAAATACATTCCCTCACGGATGATGTATATCTCGTCCCTTCCCAAAACTAGCCAGCAGCGAGCTATACCGGTACCCATAATTGGCAACATCAGCTCCAGAATGCATCAGATCGGCGAATCTGCCAACACCCGCCACACTGCGAAGGATACTATCAATACGATGCTCCTCACACAGCGCTGCTCCCCGTCGAGATCCACACTATGAACTTTATGCTAGCAATACCAACATTGGAGAGCAGACCCTGCCACACCTAGCCAAAACCAGATAGTAGGAGTCCTCAAGGGCCAACCTCACACTCGCGGCACCACTGATGGCCTTGTCACTCGCCGACCATTTCCTCCATATTGCTAGAGAAGGGGTAGCCTCTGCCTCCTCAGCTGAGTCGTCCCATACCTTCCAGGATCATCATAGCAGTTATGAAGAACCCTTCTACCGTACATCATCCATGCCGTAGATGTTGAGCCTATGACGACTCTTGTGTGCTTCCGACTCGAGGTAGTGCTTGTAGCGGATCGCCATGGTCTCCTCGGACTTGTACCTATCCAATACAGATCATAGACATACTTCAAGAATAGAGCAAAAGCCTCGTGGAGCATATGCAAACCATTAAAACATATTCATTTCCTCACACTACCCTTTGCACCAACGACCGTTCGTATGCCTTTGCCGTTATTTCACTCATATACGTTCACAAGGCGAATACAAAACCATAGGAACAGGACGGATACAATACACTCTTCACTATCCATTTCCCTCCAAAGAGGCTCTCACTTCTTCCTAGCACACTGTATAACATCAGGCAACCGGTAGAGGGTCCACGACTGTTCATCCGACTCGTATGGGTTCTGCTTGTGGAAGGATGCCAGGTCGTCGAGGTCACAGTCCGACAGTCCGAACTGCTTGCGGGCCTCTGGGCGCCTTATCCAAACCTGAGGCCACCACAGTGAAGAGCCCATGAGTCTACCCGATCTACATGGTCGGGCTCTTTGAGCTGCCGTTGGAAGGCCGACATAGCCTTCCTAACCCACTCCCGCTCCATACCCTTGTTCGACCGCTCCACGTTACTTGCACGTTGGTCTGAGCAACAACAACATCAGCCTCGTATATGCTCTCAACCATTGCTGGGGGTGAGCCTACACCCAGGTGCCGCTGCCGGGCCTAGTGAGAGTGTCGATGTCATCAGGCTAGCTCCAGCACAACGGATCAAGGCACTCGGCGATACTCTTCGACTGTGCAGGAGTGTCGACCCTCGACTGCCACCGCCTCCTCCGACGCCGAAGTGGTAGTAGTAGGGGCTCTTGCTGAGGACCTCCAAACCCAGCATGGAGTGGCATATATGAAAACCCTAACAAGGTCGTACGAAGCAGGTGTAGGAAGATGCACAAGGCAAACTCTACTGCAAAAACAGCATTGACGACCTCCTTCACTATCCCACGTTGTTGGGTTTCAGTCGACACAGTAATAATCACACAGTTAAGACTATCACGACCACCTGATGATTTTCCCTCGCTATCATTATAAAGGTGCGTCCTTTCGCAGAGAGCACATTGTTGGGCAATATCACTGCTGGTCGTTGACTTCCTTTTCCCATACACCAACCTCACTACTAATGAGGATTGCGGTTGAGCGAGTACTCACACAACACGAGGATCGTCGTACTTAGGAAGACAGCGTACTCGAGTTGAAGGACAATAGTTGTTCTTGGTAGACGGTAATATGCTACTCTACTCTTTACTACTACTACTACGTCCTTGCGCTTTGTACGGGTATTTGGCATACCTGAAGCCCATTCTCCATCGCAACGTGCGCAGCGAAGATACTCACATGTAAGTAGCAACAGCAGTCAGAGGTGCCGAGAGGATCAGCTCGGTCGTCAGCGGTTTGTACAATATCACACTCCTCAAGAATGCCGTAAAGATGATGCCTGCTATAATGGAGAAACCCTTCTGGACCTGATAAGGCCAGCCATAACAAAAACAACAACGGTCATCCCTAACCACTCACACTGCCAGCGTATTTGGTGACCTGACCAACAAAGATGCCGCCCATAGCCGCCGTAACTGAAGGAGAGCAAGGGACTACATCGAGCGAAGACAAAGGGTGCTTACAAATCGGTATGAGCATAGTCCAGGTCTGGAGGGCTAAGCCAACCGCAGGGAGGTGACCTTCCTTGAAGAGCTCCCCTGTCGATATGGCTATCACTGAGTATACTGCTAGCTCAGCCGAGAAAAGGAAACTAAAGAGGAGGACCAGTGTTGGAATATATACTCCCTCCCCCAAGCTGAGCTCAAGAGTTCCCTCATTAGTGATACACTGATTGATGTAGTGTTTTCCGAAATTTCCAAGAATTTTTATATTGTCGACAACACACGTCCAAGTTGACCATGTGCATATTTTCCCACACTGCCGAGATCCCCGATGTAATGACGTATGCAAGGCAAATAATAACGTCACTCAAACTACACTTTTTCAATCTCAAGTGGAAGAAGTAAATCGAACATTCATTTCGAATTTGAACTTTCATTCCGGGAGAAACTTCTCTCACTCGTCGAAAATCAAATCTCACTTGCTGAATTTGAGATTGGAAAGGTTTACAACCCTTAGATAGGCCTCTTTCCAGATCTAATTAGTTCTCCCACCGCCACCGCAGTGTGCCCACTCATCGTAAGAGTGTAGGAGATCCTCACCTATTCCGACTATATGTCTGCAATGCCAATTCAGAGATAGATGCTCCGACACCCGATAGCGCGCTAGCAGTTAGAACCTGCGACACGATAAGCATAGATGGAGTATTCTACTTCTACACAGATGAGTCCCAGTCTAGGGTTTCGTTCGCCCTGGGCCTCCGGGGGCTCCGAAGCCTGACCTGACAAAACTTCACTTATCACACTACGCTGAGCTCGAGAGAGAACCCACCAATGCTGATCATAACGGCCGCAACGAAGAGCATTCCAAGAGCAAATAGCTGATGCCGACTCTGCCGTTTGCCAAGGAAGAGATAAGTCAACAGCTAAGAGTGATGAATGACCAGACAGGGCGCCACTGACGAGTGAATTACAGCAGTGGAGAGGAGCTTAGTCTGATTGACCAGGTTATAAACAAGGGGGTCGAGGTGTTGGAAGGCAATCTGGATGCATATATTCTGCATAGAGTAACTCATCGCAGGAAGAGCGGCCGCTAAAAAACTGCCACGTAGTGTCCATCCTTGCAAGGCGCTCGAGGCGGACCCTGACAAACTCTGCTCTGGAATCCGTGATACTACTACTCACTCACCTTCTGCAAACATGAGCCCGATCGCCAGGAAAAACTTCACAATTTCGGTTATAGTAACAATCGCCGACGACGGTATAGTCCTGATAACCATACACACTATCCCCTTCCTCCTCCTCCTCTCCACCTTTACCTCGGCGTGAACGTTGTGGTGATGAGTGGCTGACTGCCGTACTGTAGCGCCAAGAGGGCCATATAGAAGAGGCCCCTGGGCGATATAGCAGTTCGGCTCCGCTGAGTCGGACCGGCGTCACCATCATCAGACTTGCCGTCTGTGCTGGATTGACCATCAACTTCGTAGGTGAGCTCATTAGGGGCAGGGGACTCTTCCTTAGACCAACGACGAGGCTGGAGCTCTACCTCATCCTTGCTGACGGGTGAGCCAAAGGGTGACAACATACTGACCTATACTGAATCATACACGGATGAACCTAAGATACGCCTGGGGAACGCAACTCCTCCTCCTAGGATCTAGGGTGTATCCGAAAACGTGTGAAACACTCCTCACAGCAACTATACTGAACAACGATGACTTGGCAATTATACAAATATAAAGTACATACTAGTAGACTGTGGTTTACTTTAATATAAACATTACTACAATGGGGTCAATCATAGACTCCTCTTGGTGACAGGACTAGTAGCCATTTTCAGCCCACACCTCATTGGCAACTTTCACGGCCATAGAGAGTTTAAAGGGCTTCGGCAAAGGTGTATACGGTCCGGACATCTCCATTATCACATCTGCTAGGGCTGAACAAGAGCAACAACTATACCCACAACACGATCACGGAACGTGGTGTTGAAAGCTCTGACCGAAACATTGACAGCAAGGCGAGGGTATATGGGAAACGTCTGATGGTAGATCTCCCTCCCCCCTACTCTCACCATCCTTGTCTCGAGATCCCCACTTGAACCATCCACTATCCTTATCCTTCGCCACGTTGCCCTCAAGGCCCTCATCGCTGGACACCGTGTCGACCGGGCCTACCAATAGACCACAACGTGGAACTCGTAGTCGGGACCAAGGTCAGTAAGCACATCTATCCCTATCTATAAATATAAAGAAAATGCACTTCAACCGGCGCAGCAAGATTACGAACAGCTCAGAATCTACAGCATTTCCAGGTCAAGGTAATTTTTTACCGACAAATTTAATTTTCTACCCATTTGGTTAATGTTCTACCTTTTTAGTTAACATTTTACCCATGGCTTTAATAAAATACCAAGAAAATTAATCTAATACCCGGTTTATTTGAAAGTTTAGGAGTTTAATTTAACCAAGAACGTGCACGATAACCACGTGCACGTCGTGAAGGTCAATGACAACTCGAGGTCCTCGAGTCGAGGAATCGTGTCGCTGCTTCGGCAGTTATATTAATGTCGCACTTGCCTCGCTTGTCGCCCATTTTCGATAACTCAGAACTGGGAGCTGAAGAGTTGCTGATGAGCATGACCAAAAAACTCAACTTGTTCAACTACCTTTCTGCACCTTTACCTATGTCACTCTTCCGTATGATTTCTCAGCACAAAATTGTCTCAGTACATCCCTTGCTAAATTTATTTCAATGCTGGTCTATTGTTAACTCTGCACGCCCACATTATCATTGGGAGCGCCTTGATTAAATCAAACTCCTAAACGTTCAAATAAACCGAGCATTAGATTAATTTTCTTGGTATTTCATCAAGGCCATGGGTAAAATGTTAACTAAGAAGGTAGAACATTAACCAAATGGGTAAAAAATCAAATTTGTCGGTAAAAAATGAACCTGACCTGGAAATGCTGTAGTCCTCTCTATATAACCAACATTCACGAATAATATGATGCTCCGGACTGTGATAGAATCAACTTGACCCTTGTACCCGATTGGCCCAACAGACATCCTTCTAACCATTTCTCTCGCCGCTCCTGCCAGTACTCAGCGCCATAACGCTCGGGCAGGGGATTCACAGGCACAGCCTCCCGCGACTCAGCTGCTGCCGCCGCCGCGGCTCTGGCCTCATCCCAGTCCGGCTTGTCCGGATACAGATCGAAACCTAACAAGGGCCTACTACTACTACTACTACTACTACTACTACTACTACTACTACTACTACTACTACTACTACTACTACTACTACTACTACTACTACTACTACTACTTCCTCCCCTTATACTACCTTTGCCGCCTAACGCCGCATTACTCCTCCCTTCACTACATTCCAATGAAGTCAATAACCCCTTCACAGTCTTCAACTCCTCCCTCAGTGCCTTATCCTGTGGGCACAGCGCTATAGCCTTTCGCAGGCACTCTCTAGCTTTGTATAGAAGATCCTTAGGCTCAACACCATCTGAAAAGATGCAATGCCATCCATTGTGAATCCATCCATCCACCCAAGTACCCAACGCCTCCTCCGACCCCGCTGACTTGTCCTCGTATATATGCCGTAAACACACAGCCTTCCTAAAACCCCACCAGCTCATACACAGCCGCCCGTCCCGGGCCACTACCGGTAAAGGTATTTCGGGTTAGCATTACAATCATCTTCCGAACAGACCACCGCTGTCTCCTCCATCACTGTGAGGGCTCCTATATAGTCCCCCAACCGTTGTAGGCACAACGCCCAGTTACAACGGAGCGTGAGGATCCTGACGATGAGCACAAAGCCGATTCCCAAACACCCTAGCCCTTCCTCAAATGATTTCCACTCTGGCACATCTGTTCCCTCGTCCACATTTACCCCCTCAGCCCGTAGTACAAATTAGAGTCAACAGCCAGTCGGCAAGCCCGTGCATAGGTCTCCGCTGCCTTATCGTATTCCTTCTCTTTAAAAAGGGCGTTGCCTTCCCGTTTAAGATTCATCGCCTTGGTTGTGGGGGACTCTCCGAGTGCTAGGGCCCGCCGCAAGAAAGCCTTCATAAAGTAAAGTGACTACTGCTCAACGATGAGAGTAAGCGAGCCCATCCACCACCACTACGACGCCTTCCGCCCCACAGGAACTCCAGAAACAGGCGTGGACTCAACACTATAGGGGATAGAAAGTGTTACAGAGGAACATTCAAAACAGATCAAGTACAAAAAGTGTCTTCCTCGACAGAATAGGATACCATAACGCAGACACCCCGTGCCCACGAACATAGCAAGAACCTCCTACTACTCTCCTCGCCAACCCCCGTAGTAGTAGGGCTGTTGAGGCGGTGGAGGAGCGTACATAGGCGGTGGAGGAGGAGGGGGAGGAGGACCGTACGGTGCAACGGGTGGTGGCGGCGAGTACATAGGCTGATAACTACTCATCATTGTAGGCTGATAAGGAGGAGGAGGAGGAGCATACCCCATGGGCTGGGGTGGTGCCATCATCATCACAGGTTGTTGTTGTTGTTGTTGCTGAGGTATTACTACTTGCCCTGTACTATAGGC